TCTCATATAGCAATATGGCTGTGTTATTTCATCTTACATCAAATGAATCCCAAGCTGTCACCTATCATATAATCTACGCACTTTGTTTGTTGGCTTTATTGGTCTTAATGTCACCGCTCATGTCTCATATGGGCGAACGACCTAACATGTTGTCTACCACAGATCAACCAGTCAGTAATGACCTAAGTCTGTCCGTTCCGTGCTAAATTGGGAACTCCGCCCGCCGCAGATTCGGGCGCACTCGGCTGTAATTAACAGAACTAAACACGGTACTGTCAGCAAGAAAAGAACGATTACTAATTTTATAAAACACACAATATCTATACTAATATATAGAGCTGAAGAGTTTGTTTGAACGCGCTAATCTTAGGAACTACTGGTTTTTTGTGTTGGTTGGACCATTTGTCGGGGAAGGCTTTAGGCGATAAAGACATCAGGACGGATCAAGTTCACATCAGGTTGTGATCTACAAATAGCGAAAAAATATAGGAAAATGTGGATTCAAGAAACCCAAAAAAATATGATATCATAAAGTAACTCTTCTTTTAATGCTCTATTTGATAGCTCATATGCCCTAACCGAAACAATTTTTTACAATTAAGTAAAACACTTTTAACGGTTTAAAAAGCGAAATGGGTTAACTCATGTACAATTTATTTTAACTACGCCCCGAAACACGAGGAAACAGATGGCGCTAGCAGCGTACAATTTTTGAATTTGACAATAGGGGACACCTTTTGTACAAGCCAAGTGACTTACAAAGCATCTAATAGATCAGATAAAAGTGCAGTTTTTTTTTTTGCAACAATCAAATACTTGGCTGTGAGTGTAGTGAAACTGGCATAAAAATGTTTGTATGAAATTTGAATTATTATAACATTTAACAGATTATTAATTCAGTAGCAGTGATATTTATTAGGTATAAATATACAGTTCTCTGCTGTCTGTCTTAAACACTAGTGTTCACTTACTGAATTGTTTGTCGATATAACTTCAGACTAGCACTAACGAAGCGACTATACAACATCTTACATTAATTATTATTTGTATTGAAGCAAGAAAATGGAAAATACATCATTAAGACAGGTGCAAGAGGGTGTTTCGCGTATTAGGATACAAAGACTTGAATATTATCTGTAGTTTACCCGAAAAGTACACATCTAAATAAAACACTTTAACGGTTTAAAACGCGATATATTAGTTAAACTATTAGAAAATGATTTTTAACTTCGGCCTGACGTTGGATGCTTGCAGCAGCCGTGGTCACAGGGAGACCTCATTTTCAAATAGTTTAACTAATATATCGCGTTTTAAACCGTTAAAGTGTTTTATTTAAATGTATTCGATACGTCAAGGCGTAGTTAAAATAATTTGTAGAGTTTAAATATTACATTTCGCGTTTTAAGCCGTTAATAATATTTTATTTAAAAGACAATGGCTTGTTTGGACTAATAAATTAATCGATAAGAGGACAAGACAATATATAACTTCATGGGCAAAAGTTGTCAGGAAAACTTTGCCTATTGCCTAGCATTGCTTTAAGCGCGAGAGGTCCTGGGTTCGAATCGCGGGGAAATAAAAAAAATGTTTCGGTCAGGCAGGGCACAGAAGTCTAATCTACTACTTGCCTATTAAAGAAAGGATCAGTGAAACGGACACAGACATGTGTTCGCCCCTTCCCCCCGCGAGGGGGAAAAAGGATTTCAGACAAACTTTAAAATTAATAACATTAATGATGACATTGTAATAGTTGAAAATCTGTTAAGGTTGAGAAAAGAGGACTTTGCATTGGATTTGTTTAGGTAAAATTGGTTGGCAGCACGGATGGCTGTGGAGGTCGGTTCAAGTCACGCCAGTGTCATCTTGTTTTTTCAAACTTTCTTAATAAGTGTTGAAGTAAAAAGTTCTCCTGTGTAGTTCATGGGATACGAACCTGCGACCCTGTGTGATTTACGAAATCCTGTATATTTAACAAAACAACCATCGAGATGGTTCCATAAATATTTATAAATTTTCTAATAAAGCTTTCCTATATCTTCAAACCCGTTTACGCGATAAAATTAAATTTTCATAATAAAAACCCAATTGACACCGCAATGGTTTGTAAACCCGTTTTAAATTTCATCGAATACACAATGAAACGGAGTGAAAAGGGACTATAATAATTAATTTTTATTCGGAGCTTCAAGGTCTACGCTTGGAAAATTGCCAGGTGAAAAATCGCTTAGATTCGAACAGTTGCGAGGCTGCGGTAGAGAGGTCCTTAGAAATAAATGGTTCCGTGATATTAAATGTTTTTTATGAGAAACGAGCACAGACAAGTTAAACTCCACTTGACGTTAGGTCAATTACCCAAGCCATATTACATCTAAAGTGAGAGTGAGAGTGGAAGTGAGTGTAGGAATGAGAATGGAAGTTAGAGTAGGAGTGATGTGAGGTGATAGTGTTGCGACAAAGTAGCACTTACAACATAGATTGGCTGCGATAAACGCGTAATTAGATAAATTAAAACAGCCTAAATAATTAAAAATTCTACCCCAAGTCACTTTTCCACGCGGACGAAGTCGCGGGGACAGCTAGTGCATAATTTATAAGAGTCAACTCAACTATTAAATAAAATTGTTTCCGTTTTAAATGTAGCTGTCAATACTTTGTTTATATAAACTACATATTATGATTTACTATAATGCACATAAAAGTCAGCTAATATTTTTCTTGTTTTAAACCGTAAAGTGTTTTCTTAATTACTTATTTAATTGCTAATTTATTAATTATAACATTATTTGTTATCCAAGAATTTAAATACACAGGTGTAACAGAGCGGAACAATTTAAAAGCACTACTTTATTTTAGATAGATACATACTTAATAAACATTATTAACACTGCCATCTATCAAAACTTGTTTGTACTAATATGTTTTTGATATGGAAGTCTTCGCGTTGATATATAACCAACACACAATTACAATGCAATTTTATCATAGTTTCATATTTAAATACGAGATGGCGCTTAAATAAAAATAAAAGAATTGATTTATACATTTTTAATAGAATAATAACTTATTTTCTAGATAGAATAATATTTTTTTTACTTCAAAATTCCTGGGAACGTACTGGATATAATATCCGCTGGCTTGGCGACCTATTTTTACTTTGAACATCTACTCCAAGAAAAAACTTGCCTCACTTATAAAGTTGTCGAAATTGGCAATTATAAACTTCAAATACACTAATGAGAATACTTCTACGACATTATTCGTCTCAATAAACTAATTAGCCATATGCTTGGCCGGTCAACGGTCGACCTATTGGCCCACAGTGATAGCAAACTATTGAATAGAAACAGTTTTCGTCGGCTTTCTGACGACAATTTGAAACAACTAATAAAATCTAAGCTTACTCTTACATTTACTATTTCAAACACTATTAGAGCTAAATCGACTAATATATTTCACATTTAAACTGTTAAAAGTGTTTCATTAAATGTACACCTTTCATGTTAAGTACAAACAACATACAGGCGAGAAAAAAAAAATTATACGCAGATTGATAAGAATATTCACACAACAGTAGCATCTAGCCACCGCATCACTATCCAAGCACATGGAATTAATATAGGTATATTTTTACAGTTACTGACTACCAAATTAAACCATAAACATTTTATAGTGGTATGTACCGCAAGCTTGTCAATCAACGTAAAACTTTGACAGCTGTAACTGTTTCTTAGGACGTATTTAAGATGAAAATAAGCATTAAGCATGCCTGTTGTAATTGTAAGAGTCAACTATTGTCCACACTTTATACATATTATTTGGGGGGGGGAGTATATTTTATAGTATGGAGGTCACTTGATGGAGAGAGAAATACCCCGCCATATAACATTTAAACAAGATGCGGTATTGACCCACTTTGGCTTTGGACATTCGGATATCATGTTATTTTAATACATACCTAATTGTGCTCCGTACTTTCTTCATAATTGTTTTATTTATTTATTCATAACAGGCTTACGTACATAATGAATCTTACAAAATCTATTTCTCCTTATTACTTATAATAAACGTACTATTTATGTATATACCAGCTGAGCCGGCTAAAGTTGTTTTGCCAATTAAATAATGTTACTAAAATGTCTATTATAAAATAAGGGTTGATCATAGAAGGCTGAAAATTGAGGATTGTATGTATTTTTGTATGTTGTATCATAAAAAAATAAATATTAAAAATATTGTTCAAAAATTAAACAAAAAAAAATTAAGGGTGAACCACCCTTATCACTTAGGGAGATGAAAAATAGATGTTGTCCTATTCTCAGACCTATTGAATACACATATGAAATTTGGTGAAAATCGGTCGAGCCGTTTCGGAATAGTTCAAGTTCGAACACCGTGACACGAGAATTTTATATATTAGATTTATGACCCATTCTCACTAAGAACACATATTTTAAATACTGTCTATAGTTTACGCGAGTAGTACACATTTAAATAAAACACTTTAACGGTTTAAAGCGCGATATATTAGTTATATTAGTTTAACTAATATATCGCGTTTTAAACCGTTAAAGTGTTCTATTTACACACACATTTTATTTTCCCACACGCTATTAAAAGTAAAAAATATATCTACATCACACTAAATTTCATTAAAATTGCTCAAGCCAATAAGTTAGTATCAAAAAACTGACGGACACGAAAAACGTGAATAGGATAAACGTATTCGTATGTATAACAATTGCGTATTGTGTAAAGAGATCAAACAATTTATAACTGAGCATCGGATTAAGAGCGCAAAAAAATGTTACAAACGAATGAACACGTTCGCAGTTCGAGTTGCGCTTGCGCGGGTCTTGTAGCGAGCGCGCATCGCTTTGTCATTATTTTATTTATACACAATATTTAACGAATAGAATCTATTAAAAATATTTATTAACAGTTAGTATTTATAATTAATAATTTGATTATGTGTGTTCGTATTAGTAGTTGATTTTATTACAATGAAGTGGATTATTGTTTTGCTTGTGACGCCGGTTTTGGCGAACTATTCACCACAAAATGTAACGAGGTATGTAGGTACATTTCTAATCTTTCGTTTTAGGGGTGTTCAAGTACTGGGATCCGTATATTCTAATTCAATCAATCATTTGTGAAGGTTCTTCATTCTTAACAGTTGATAATAATTTATACTGATTTCACAATTGTATTGTTTAGGTCGTTTAATCTAACAATAACAAAGGGAAAATGGTTGAATAAAGGAAATACTGAAAAATGTTATTATTTACCCAGTAAGGAGCGTTTAAATATTCTGTACTTAAATATTAAAAGAAAGTACCTTTTTTATATTAAAGATAATCGGATTTTGAATGATTCCTCGCACAGCATGCATACATGATCTGTATGCATGCTGTGCGAGGAATCATATATCAACATATTTATATTTTCTCTTATTTACTAATCAAACGAAGAAAATACCTTTTGTATGTGAATGAATATAGTGGACATTTATCTAATAATTATCCTTACCTACAACCGGCCTATAGCATCGTAGCTATAAGGATGGGCTATCAACCATCTGGGCTATTTTAGATTTGCATTCGGAGCTAAATACTTAAGAAATAAATAACTAGAAATGGAATATCGTTTGAGAGTGTTAACTTATTATTATTTATTTAATTTGTTATCATCAAATTTTAAAAAGGCATTAATTTTATTTACATATACTTTACGTTGAATGTCCTTTAGAACGAATAAAACAGTGTAACATTTAAATGAAACACTACACTTCTTGTTGAACGGTTTAAAACGTAATATCATTAGTTAAACTTTTTTTTAAAAAATTTAGGTAGTTTCGGATGCTTTATTTAGCAGTCGTAGTCTCCCCATGACCACGACTGCTAAATAATAATTAATATATTACGTTTTTAAGTCAAAGTTTTATATAAATAAAAAGTGTTCAAAGCTAAGAGTTACGAATTCGCGTACTTAATTTATGTACGTTAATTTTTTAACTTCAACGCGTCAAAGCTTCGGATGCTTTACAGGCAATCTATTTATTACTAGCTGTGCACTTGACTTCGTCCGCGTAGAATAGTTTTGGGCAACAAAATTTGTACACAAGTTAATCTTAAAAGATAGACAAAACGCGGACATTTTTTACAACAATAAGAGAGAAATAATACTGTCATATGCATTTTTAGGTTTATTGAAAAGTTTCCCAGTACCTCAAAGATAAATAAGTCTCCTTATTTTCCAACACGAAAGTATTTTTTCGATTCGTTTCTGGAATTATCGCGTTCAAACAAACAAACTCGTCAGCTTTAGAATTAAACTAGCCGTGCCAGCGACTTCGTCCGCGAGAATCGTAATTTTGGGCATCCAAATTTATTTTTGCAAACCCCTTATCTTAATAAACTCAAGCTGTTACCCACGACTTCGGTCGCGTCCCTTCCTGTCGTTCTTGCAAGTTAATCTTAAAAGATAAAAATATAGCGTCGCGGGCTATTTTTAAGATAATTTAAAGAGAAATAATTCTTTCATACATATTTTTGAATATCTTGATCAGTTTTTGCAGCTTATGTTTCGGAAACCCATAATGATGAATTATTTTCCCAATATTGTTCACATTTCTCGCTGTATCTTTGCTTGCATTAGTCAAAGCGCGATGTTTTATAGCCTTCCTCGATAAATGCTCTAACCGACACATTTGTTTTAATTCGAACTCGTAGTTCCTGAGATTAGCGCGTTCACAAACAAACAAACTCTTCAGCCTTATAATTAAATAGTGTATTTTGCTTTTTCTTAAAGTACCGTTGCAAAGGTGGTACGAAGATAAAAGATCTCCGCTCACTCTCGGCGATAATTTCACATTTTTTAAATATTTGTTCTGTCCACTTGACCTCAAATCGAACCTTGGAACGCCAATCTCACGATGACATTGACCCACTCATCCCATTTCCTTATGGTGTGCGATTCTATTATATTTCCGTTATTTATAACATAATAAAATTCAAATATTATATGTCAGTAATTAGTAGAAGATGTGAGACTAAAAAAATATTTCATCATCACACGATAAGTAATACTGCCTCGATGGCCTAGCGGTTAGTAATTCTTAATGCCGATCACAAGATCCTAAGTTCGCAACCCGAGTCGGGCGAAGTGTTACTTCGATATTTGGAATTATTGTAGCTTATGATAAATATCTAATACCACTGGAGAATTGTATTGGGTAAAAGAACAACAAGCCAGTTCCAGTTATCATCACCAATTTAGTGAAATACTGTCTGTTGTTTACGAGTCTAGTACACATTTAAATAAAACAATTTAACGGTTTAAAACGCGATATATATTAGTTAAACTTATTTGAAAATTATTTTTAACTTCGGCCCGACGTTTCGGATGCTTTGCAGCAGCCGTGGTCACGGGGAGACTTACTGAACCAATAATTAGACTTCTTTTTATATATTATATTGTCAATATTTTGCAGCAGTCCTTGCACAGACCAAAACCACCTAGTCCTGGTGCCAGGTGTACTAACAGCTGGTGGTACCAGCCGGGCTTGTATCTCTCGGTTTTATCCAGATGGACCTGCGAGAATGCTGCTAACTTTGAATGTGGAAGGAGATTCAACGACGGCCACAAGACAGCTTAATCCTGGTATGTAATTTAATAAAAACGTAGCATATATAAATAATAGCATGAAATAAGGATCTAGCTAAATCTGCGAGCTGTTACCCACGACGTCGTCCGTCTCTTCGTTCTTGCGAGTTTATAAGCTGTTGTGGATATGTTTTAGATCACTTAAAGGAATCAATCATTTTTTTTATTTTTTTTTGTTATCTTGGAACCCTCAAAGATGAATTTACCCCCTTTAATCCCACATTTCCCACCGTTTCTTTGCTCATATTGGCCACACTGCTTTACAGCCTTGCCTTCCTCGATAATTGTTCTAACCGAACCAAAAACAATTTTTCAATTCAAACTAGTAGTTCCTGAGATTAGCGCATTCAAACAAACTCTTCAGCTTTATAATGCTAGGGCAGATACTATGTCCTTCGCCGCAGGCGCATAAAACAGTGCGGTCGCCATGGTAACATTGAGGTGCCATTTGATTTGTACCAAGTAAAAATATTTTTCGCAGGGGATGGAGGATGCTTAGATCTTCCAGTTCCTCTACATCCAAACACCAAAGCCGAATTAACTATAAATATTAGGTAAGTCCACACTATATGTTATATCTGTACACTGCGATGGTGATAATGATTTATATGTGAAATATAACGAGACATTTTTGTAAAATTCCTATGTTCCGCACCATGTGCCAAGATAAAGCATGGCTAATCGCGCAAAGTCCTATGTTCCAATTCCGGAAACACAACACTTTCGGTCAAAGGGAACTCAGTCATCTATCTACTACTTGCCTGTGAATTAAAGCGACCAAGTAACGGATACAGATGTATGTCTTATGTTACCACATAGTGATAACGCGATTTTACATAACTGTTTATACTTACATTTGTTTTACTTAGAATATACTTTATGTTGACAGTGAGTGAGTGAGAGAGACTTTATGAGTCTGGTCTTTTGCAGGTATCCAGAAGTTGGCTGCACCTGGGAGCGTAGTATACCGCTTCGCATTTCCAGCGGAAGGGTAATGGTGGTCCACACAGAGCGGTCAAAGTATAGACCTGGAGATCTGGTGCGGTTCCGAATGCTCGCGCTGAAGGCTGATTTGACTCCTGCGCATACAACTGTGAGTAGGTTTTTTTTAATGATAGAGAAGGAGAGACACCTGTGGAGTGCTTGAGTGCGTGCGTGACTTGATGATAGATGAAATACCCCAACCATATAAATTAAGCCAGGAAGAGCTAGAGTTGCTCCACATTAGCTAAAAGCTTAATAAAAGAAAAATAGGACTTAGGCTTTTAATTTTGTATAAAAACCTACTTTCATATACAGAGTTAATGTAGTTTTGACGTTTTATTTCACCTGCTACACTAGATGCACAGTCGACGTATTCCAAATATCCAAAGACAAACTTGTCCACCCGTAATTAAACATTCTATATCAAAGCTAATAAGTTTTAACTCTTTTTTCGTAGTACGAATACAACAGTCTTTTCGTGACTTTTAGAGACATTTGTGCCCTGCCCGAACGCATTAAAACATGTATTTAAGATAATGAGTCTTAACTCTCTCTAATATATTAGTAGAAATTATATGTATAGAGTGTTGTGCCCTGTGATAAAATACGCAAGGATACTAAGGATTGGGTCCGTTTTACGATAAGAACTGGAATATCAAGTTGTGCAACCACATTCCAACTCCTATGTTTGTAAATACTAAATTGAGTAGATTTATCTTCATTTTGTAACATACGACTAATTAAAGCTTAACCCTTTCACGCGCAAGGGACATATTTTGCCCTTCCATAAAAATCGTTATCGATTATTCAATTTATATCGATATTTATTTAATGATTGTTAAAATAAAACGTATGAAATTATAAGAGATCTATACACCTTGCTATTCTAGTGATGTTCTCTTATTTTACACCCAAAATAGCTAAAATATTGTGTTTTATCTGCATATTTAGACCCCTACAACACCATAAGATTTATGGTATTTTATGATAAATACATATATCTAAACTTCAATAAAACATCCAAGTTACTATTTAACGTAGTTTGATTCTGAAGATCTCGTTCGTCCTATGGTAGGAATGTTGTCTAATCAAAGGCTTGTAGCTTCGATTTCCACCGGGCCAACAAATTTCTGAAATATTTTTTTCTTAGAACAATAAAATACCTCGATATTAAATAGGCTTGTATGAATATCAAAATGGCGTCCAGATCACGAATGACCGATGATAAAGTAAAAGATAAGATCTGCGCTCTTGGTTTAGTCTTTGGATTTCTCGACGTCATGTCATGTCTTTGCCCTTCTGTAATGTCAAAAGAAAAACTTTCTTAAAGTTTAATATTCCAATATTAATTAGATCAATACAGAAGTTCAATTCGAAAGCGCCTACATAATTATCTATTGGTATTTTTAACATTACGCTATTTGCGACATTGAAAGTTTAATCTTCAGTATGACAGAGTTAAATTGAAAATAAATTGAAAACATTTTCGACTCGGGCAGGACTTGAACCGGCATCGTCAGGGTTCCGTGCTGTTGCTCTAACCAATTGAGCTACCGAATCTCAGTTCTTTTATATATAGTGCCATCGTGTAAAAAATATTAAAGTTTTCAAATCAGAGTTAATCGATGAAAGTTAAAATGGTAAAATTATCAAGTCACTTCACTATTCAAAGAAAACCTTACCGGTTGTACAGTTAAATTCTCACAAAATGTTACAGTTATTAATAACATTTGTTTTAAAGTGCTGAGTCACGGTGAACAAGCTTTTCACCCTACGTTTCTTTCGAGGCGCTTGTGTGGTTGTGACAGCCCAATCGATACGATATTAGTACTGTACAGGTCGTGGGTTTGAGTTCCGCTCCAGTTATTAAGAGAGTATTGACTAGAAAAAAACTTTATAAAATGCTAAACAATTCATTCGATTCCTTTTGTATTCTATAAATCAATTCATTGGACGGACACAGAAATATGTTTTTAATTATTCAATATTGTAGTCGGGGGTCGAGCCCCCTTCGTGTCTTAAACTTAAGAATAACTAAATACTGTGCGTAGTTTATGCGACAGTACACATTTAAATATAACACTTTAACGGTTTAAAACGCGATATGTGAAGTTTATTTGAAACTTATTTTAACACGTTTCCCCGTGACCACGGCTGCTGCAACCCGAAACGTCGGGCCGTAGTTAAAGTTACTCTCAAATAAATGTAAATAATAAAAATATATATCGCGTTTTGTAACCGTTAACGTGTTTTAAAAAAATTACGAGTAAGTTTTGTTAACATTAAAAAAAAAGCAAAACAGTTTTATGAAATTTACATATTGAGGATATTTTTAACGATTACAGTATATAAAAATAAAAAACACGTTCGCTAGTAATTTTATAAAAACTCCAGATTTAGTTACTACAGCACGTTTACAAAATGTCAGCGTAACACTGACACGATTAACGATGAGTTGTGCCCGTATGCAAATTATTTGTTTACTTAATAAATCACAGATACAAGCGACATGTACTATTGTCAGCATTTTTGTATCTGCAGTCTACGGATTTTCTTAAAACTACTTTTTCCATAAGTAGGTATATGAAAAGAAACTATTGCTTTTATTTACATAGAAAAGCTCTAGGTACCGTATACGTACTTGCGTACAAAGCACACTACATGCGCACAAAATGTATTAACACAATAAGTTTACTTATCATGTAAATATATTTACATAATAAGTAAACAGAAAATAGTTTTTACCTTTAAAAAAAACATTTAACTGTTTAAATCGCGAAATATCGGTATTTTATTTAAAAGGAAAATACAATTTTTTCGTCATTTGACGCATCTATATTATTTAAATCAATACTAAACTTATTTGGAGAATATTTTATACCTAAGCTACCGAAATGTTGAGCCGTTGTTAAAATAATCTCCAAATAAGTAAACCTAATATATAACGCGTTTTAAACCGTTAAAATGCTTTATTTAAATGGGTATTACTCGCGTAAACTACAGACAATATTTGATCTTTGCAATATTACGACAGTAGAACTGAGAGACAAATAAGTTTGTCGACTCTAGCAAATGAGTAATCTATGTGCGCGCGCGCACAATAACCGAATAAGTATGATCTGAAAGCAAATTAATGTATTGTTTATAAGTATATACGTCTATAGATTGAAGAAGTATGGCTCGAGGGACCTCGCGGTGCGTGGGAAGGTTCACGCTTAGCAGAGTGGTCACGGGTGAGGACACGACAGGGCGTGGGACAACTTCAATATCAACTGGATGAATTGTCTCCAACGGGAAAATGGACAGTTAGAGCCAGACTTGGTGATGGAAGTCAGGTATGAAATTTATTTATAACTAAACTATCATAAAGACTTTAAATAATTTGAATTTTTGAACTCTTTATGTCTCGAATTTAATACGAGTATTAAAAATTTCATTAAATCACGTTTATATATTTTTACACTTTACAATTCATATTTATTACAGGTACATACACTATGCAAATTTTAAAACTATAGTGTGTACCGGGCGGCCTTATCGCTATAAGCCATCTCTTCCAGACAACTCGAGTAGAAGGAAACTTAATAATAATTAAAACTATACAATGTGCAAGAAATGCGAAACTTACAAATTAATTAAACTCTACAAAATAAACTTAAACATATTTTACTAGCGACTGGCGTTATCGAGTTTTATTTTCGCGGCTATGCTTTATTTTATACTGCTTTTTAAGAGAAATAACGAAAGCTGTAGTCTATAAAGCTTCTTTTAAAGTCAGTAAATATCGGTTGGAGGTGGAGGGAGGTGGTACGAATGGTTAGAGTTATTTCATAGACATTTTATTGTATGTTGACCTCCCTTTTAATTTTAGACATTCTTAATAATTTAAATAAAGCTCACACATGTTTGAAACGTATTCGAAACGATATTTACATAAATATTATATTTTGTTAACAGGTGTGACGTCTTTTTCATCTCTTCCTCCCTCCAATAAGACAGTTTAAGAAAATTATCGTCATATGCTTTAAATTTGTCTCGTTCCCCAAAATAGATACGCCACTGATAGTACGTTTCTTCATATTTCAGGGCTCAGCTGTTTTTTCTGTGGGAAATTATAATCTGCCGCCGTTTCAACTGACTGTACGGCATGCTTCGAAAATTTTAAGAACCAGTGAAAGGCTTGTATGGACTGTATGTGTGAGGTAGGTGATGAATATATATTTTTCAAGCTCTACCAACCGACAGGGTAACATCGTGTCAATGTCAAATGACAGTTGACAATTAACATATCATGGCCAACGTGATTTACTACAATAACGTTTTTTTTTATCTGTATTTTATTTGTTGTAAATGTTTACGTAATAATGTAATAAATCTGTCGCAATACGTATATTCTGTGATGGTAAAATATGTTTATAAGTAATTATATGATAATAATGATACCGATTTATATATGATATGACTGCCAAAATACTAAAATAACATTTAAAAATAATTATTTAATAACTCGAAATATCACTCCCCCTTTTAGACAACTGGAAGACAAAATACTACGCAGATTACAACATTGTTAGATTTTAATGTTGTTGTTATTTTTTTTGTGATAGAAAAGGACAAACGAGCTCGGGGTTCACTTGATAGTAGGTAAAATACACCAGGCATATAACATGTAAAAGCTGTCGACTTATTTTGATTTTGGATATTCAGAGATCCATAGACTGAAATCGAACCGTGATTAAACTTCACGGCTTTTTCATCTGTCAACGGTGGTTCGTGACCCGATTCTATCAAGATTTACAGATAAATTCCGACATCTTTCAGAAAAATTATCAATTCAATTGTTGTCATTGTATGTGAAATATATTACAATGTTTTTTTTATAAAATATGGTAAGAAAGTATAGACTATAAATATAATAATTTCAGATACCCCTGGTCAGAGGCGGTGGAAGGTATGTTGGTGATTCGTATTCGTGGAGCTGGCTCGTCTGGTGGGATACGCACTGCGACTCGCATCAAGGCTCCGCGAGCCTGCCACCGACATGCTGCAGCAGCACGGCGTATTGGCTTAATGGCGGACAGTCCCCCCGACTTTATCATCGCTGATTTCTCTTTCCAAGTAAGAGAAGATTACGTACTCATAATCATTATAAATGAATGTTAATGGACATCTCGGGATAATTTTATATTTCAGTCGAAATAAGTATGTACTTTAAAAAAGGAAAATAAGATGTCATGTCATATTATCGCAAGGAACTCATGTAAACATAAGTGTAGTCGTTTTAAAGAATAAGCTTTTATTAGTTTAATACGTGAAATATTATTTAAACCTTTTTAACTTAATTAAAGGAGGGTTAAAAAATCGTCGGGTCGTTTATGTAAAAAACCTGTAAGACGTTAAAGGTGTTTATTAGATTTATACTATTCGCGTTAAGCACAGACAATTTCAAATGCTTTTAGTAAACAGAATCGATTTATGAAGAACACACATAAAAATGTGTTTTATGCCCCAAGCCATTACTTATTTCATATTGATTAACTAACATAACGCGTTTTAAACCGTTGATGTGTTTTATTTAAATGTGTACTACTCGCGTAAGTTATAGACAGTATTTAAAAGCTTAATATGAAGTCACCATTATATAAACTATATATATCGATAAAATACACAAATGTAAATATACAATATTATTTTCATTGATTTTGTCATGCTAGGAAGAAGGCACTCGCGTATGGCAAAATACGACGGTCGTGTCACAAGTTGTAGACAACCCAGTTACATTGGAGTTCCTGACCAAGCAGAGGACTGTTATTTCGTCAGGACTACCCTACAAATTAAAGGTACCCGAGATTTGTTTTATTAATATGAAAAAAAATTGTGATCACCTGTGTACTATTATGTAAAACATGACCAGAATATTCTCTCTCTTACAAAATAGGTTCGTCAAAATACTACAATTAAAAAAACCTGTTTTCATAGATCTTTATTTTACGTTATATTTTCTATTTTTTTAATAATACCCACACTACTATCCAGCTGAAGAGTTTGTTTTCTATAACGCTCTTTAACAGAGCTAATATGACGCTGCGACAAATTGGAGTGTAGAAGCAGTAGAAAATGTGGAAAAACGGAGAAAATCATTCATCTTTGAGCGATATCGTTGTATGCGCTGCGATAACGGTTTTCTATAGGAGGTTATGGTTGATGTATTGAAATATGTGTGTTACAATAATCAACGTTTATTCTTTAGGTGAAAGCTACCCGCTGGGACGATAAGCCAGCGTCTAACGAGAACATACGTATCTGCAAATCGCCAACCACTACCCTTGATAGTTTTAGCGTGGACAATTCCTCCTGTATTGACTCCATCACCGATGATAAGGGGATAGCTCGTGTTATATTTACAGCAAACGGTATCCCTTACTATGCGTTTCAGGATTTTTTTTATTAGTTCTAATTGTGAGTCCTTATGAACTATCAAAGGGCCTTAAAAAAGGAGATATATTTTTTCATATCTCGATATAACTCTAGATTTTTCAGGTAAGCTATTATTTCAAATTATTATTACTTTTTTAAACAAGAATCAAATTTAGGCAACCGATTTCGAAAATCGAATCGTTTATTCTTTTGTTTTCGAGCTGTTCCACATATCATGATGACGTCATACACTCGTAAAAACAAATTTCCTAATAACTAGCACAAATAAACATTTAGTTCAAAATTACTACTTTTATAGTATCTATAGTAGTTACTCGAGTGTTACACATTATATAAACTAACTTCTCCCCCCTAATAACACGGTAGTTGAAGTAAGTGAAATTGTTTGAATCGCAAAAAAAAACTAATAGTATTTAGATTAATAAAATTTATGAGTCGTACTTGACCTTCATCCACTGCGATCCGTTCTAATGTTCTAACCAATTGAGTTACCGTGTCTCACACAATATGAATTTCTTCAACTCATTGAATTCTTCAAACCAATGATCCAAAAAAATGTTAGCGACAGTATATGTCTATCTTTTAAGATTAACTCCCAAGAACCGTTTATACGGTCATATTTGGTCGAAATGAATGCATTACTAATTATTTCAATATTACAAACAACAACACAACGTTTGCTGGATCAGCTAGTGTATAAACATTTTCATATACAGGCGACATGCAAGAACTCGACAGCGAAGCTACAACTAATTGTCAGTTCGAGTACCGGCCGAGCCGCTCTTGGTCCACTTCGTGCTCAATCAACCGCCAAGACTTTAGTGCCACTCTACGTAAACATTGACGATGTCGAAGAGCCGCTTACTGTACATTTCGTGGTAAGCAATAATCATTTTTAGACAGCTTACTTCAATGCTGAAATTATTGAACTCCTTGGTCTAATAGTAACAGGTACGGGTCCTGTGGTCGATCCCCACTATCAACATGTTTATTTATTTATTCATTTATACATAAAGCATTTACAGCAAGAGCCAAAACATGCAGTATGGGACGCATGTTTTGGCCCAAGCAATTAGCTAGGAATCTTATCTATGAAATATAAACATCTAGATTTGAAAGACCCTGGATTTACATTAAATATATCATGTGCGCTGGTTACTGCTAGGAAATTATTCAACAAACGAATAGTACTTTGTGTTGGAGCCATGTAAGCCAACTGCGTGCGTCGCCGCTCCTCCGCCAACACCCTTCGGTTGTGTAAGCTTATAGTGCGCTCTGACACCCAAAGACCACATGTCTCCAACACTCCCGCCATTCAAAAAAGTAGTACATTTTTGACATATTTCTTCTTTGTTTTAATGTTTTCATGCCAACTCTACCCAAGACAAAACCTGAGGGATAAGCATAAGAAACCCAAATAACGGTTATATAATAAAACGAGCAAATTTTCGCTAAACCCTTTCGAGCATAATTATATATTTTGATTCATGGGGGCTCTAAACTATGGAACTATATTCTACGGTACTTCGCACATAAGCATTAAATAAAAATAAAAAATAGCTATTGGTCTTTGAATACTGTCTATAGTTTACGCGAGTAGTACACATTTAAATAAAACACTTTAACGGTTTAAAACGCGATATATTAGTTAAACTTATTTGAAAATGATTTTTAACTTCGGCCCGACGTTTCGGATGCTTTGCAGCGGCCGTGGTCACGGGGAGACTAAAGATGGAGGATGTCTCTGACGTCAAAGTAAAAAATTGCTACGCTAGCGCCATCTGTTCCGTCGAAATTGGTATTTGGCGAAACTGGCCGGGTCCAACCCAAACCAACCTACTATTTTTCCACAGTAGGGTTTTTAAGAGTTTAAACCCACCACGCCACTCCAGAGCCAGTTGATGGGCTTTAATGACAATCGCCTCTATTTTTTTTGTTCTCAACTTAACGTGCCAAGGCTTCGGCCGGATGACACATGCTTACTTGTATTCGAAACTTGGAGCCGTAGTTAAATTCAATAAAAAAATAGTTAACTCACACATATTTCTCGTTTTAAACTGTTAAAAGAATTGCTAAAACCTTAAATCGTGATATTTCCAGGTAATAACACGAGGCGGTATAATCTACCGATGGGGAGCGACCACTCAGTGCCCCACTAGCTCTGACCAAATCCTCACCGCAGCAAGAAACTCCAACTGCCAAAACCTTCGGAACCAACCAGGGTTTATAGGAAGACAGCCAAAACAGAGTGGTTTTAATAATGATTCTTTTCAAAACCTTGCTTCTAATTCAAGCGCGATCGATATGGATTCGTTATTAGATGGACAGTTGTTAAAGATAATGCTACCAATTAAAATTACACACCAAATGTGCCCTGACAGCCACCTGGTGGCATATTTCTACCATAAGAACGAGCTGATAAGCGCCAGCAAGCATCTGGAGATGGATGAATGCTTTGCTAATAAGGTAATAATTGCTATTTGTTTTTTACTGGCTTTCTAATTTTTTCAATAGAGAGCTATATAAAATCTAAACAATATTCGCTATCGATTTATGTACTAAATCATTCAGAATAATTGAGTAGTGTCTGTAGTTTACATGTAAATAAATCACTTGTAACGGTTTAAAACTCAAAATGTAAGTCAACTTATCAACAATATAATTTAACTATACGCCAACGTTAATACGTCACACGGGGAGACAGAAGGTGGATCGTATTCCTAATGTTAAAGTCAAAACTGCTACGTTAGCGATATCTGATTCTTTGTAGTTTTAGGAATTGGCTGGGTCCTTACAGACCTGAATCTCGTTGTCTTCTAAAAATAAGAAAACGAATGTATTTCCCGTTTAAACCGTTAAATGTGGTTTATTTAAATCTAAATCAGTTTTCTTCATATCAGGTGGAAGCGAACTGGTCCAACCGTCAAACGGCGCCTGGCTCCATGATAAGTTTAAACTTATCAACCCCTGGTCCAGCGCTTTGTGCCCTCTCAGTCTTGGACACCGCGACGAAATGGGTTCAAACTGGTGAAAATATTAAGGATCTAATCATGAAGAGTCTCAGGAAGCTAATTAGTTCACACAGGAACATGACTGAATATGACGCGGCTGGCGAATGTTTCTTTTGTAGGTCTTTTATTTAGCTTAGTTTTTAAGACCGCTTCTGTAGCTAAATGGTCAAAAGTGTTGCCGAGGTAGCGTTGAGCAAAAGATCCAGGGTTACCTGCTATTGGACTAACACAACCATGACTTTTACTTAGGTCTCAGAATATTAATGGGATCTATAAAGTCGTACAAACCTGTACCCAGGGCTCCTTAGAAAGCACCATAGCAGGCTGGTGGTTTAGTGGTTCTAGTCTAGTCCCGCCTCCAGTATGGTTGACACAACCAGCTCGAAAAAAGGGTTTACTAAGACGCTTCCCACGTCAGAGATGCCCGGCATTTCTTAGGGTTTGATTAGGCTTTCATATCTCATAAAAAAGGATAGAATATTTAACCAGAAACATGCGAAAATTGTCAACTCTTACTAAGATTTGGGGCCGGAAAACCTTTACAGGTTATTCCATCAATTTACATTTAATTCTTTCTGTAGTTGCAGATGATCCAGAGCAGTTATCTAGCACGAATCTGGCTGAGATGTGGCTCGCAACTGCTGGGGTGAGATTATTAGGTGGAACTTCGAATTACCGCAAGAAATGCGACAGTCCACCAGCTTTACTTACCGCTGATGATAATGTACTTAGGAGTGACTTCTCAGAGGTGATCAAATTACATTTGGCATACTTAGAATTTAAATAGAAGAAAGAAATAGTTTAAGAGTCTCGCGGCCATTTTGAACAGCTTAAAATAGAACGTTTTTAAACGGATTAAAAAACAAACTACATTTTATATGCTCCTGACTGTTTGATACGTCGGGTACTAGTTTAAAAATATTGTTCGTGTTTCTTTAATATATAGGTTACAACCTACATCAAGACTAAAGATTCTTTTGTTTATTATATCATTTTATGTTTTCCATACCTGCTCGAGTTTGATTAAAATTATAAGTCCACCCACATTCCATTGTTTTTTTTCTTTTTTGTTGGAACTGTGTATATGTTTACTACAAGAGTATAATAAACAGAAAGTACTTTTCAATGGCAAAAATATTAGATTACTCTTAATTTCAAATCAAATCAAAGGATCGCATTCTACAATGTGTGTGTGTTATTACAGAAGTGTATAACCCTACCCTATTTCCCGTTTACCCTGGAAAACTTTCATAAACTTGACATTTTTGTCTGAATATGTCATTATAAAATACCTCTCCTTCCATACAGTCTTGGTTGTGGCGTCTCGTGATGGTGGGAGCCAACGGAACAGCAATGACGACAGCACGAGCCCCAGATTCCATCACACGATTCGAAGCTTCTGCTGTCTGTCTTTCCAGAACCGGGGTAGCATTATCACAGCCAGCTGTTTTGCAAGTAAGTTAATAATTGTTTTAAATAAAAAAAAAACACAGATAAGATTCGAATTCACGACCAACAACGTACAGTGCTGTAGTGTATATAAAAGTATTAAAAAATTCTATGACCTTAACAAAACACTTTGTATTGTTAAGGTAAAAGATTTTCGCTGTAAAATAAATTAAAATAAAAATATTATATATTACGTTTTAAACTGTTAAAAGTGTGCTTGAAATTTGTAGAATCGCTTCGAAATTAGTTCGATGATCATCTTTATTCATTATGATCTTATAATGTAAAATACCGAAGTCGGCAGGTCAATTGGTAGAGCAACAGCACGAAAGCTGACGATGCCGGTTCAAGTTTGCCCGAGTCGAGCTTTTTTTAATTTTTTTTCGATTTTTAAATTATATAGTGCCATCCATGTGAAAAATAATAAAGTTTTCAAACATTAGCAACTTCTTGAAATAAATACAAAAAAAATTTTTACATTTTGTAAGATATTCTTTCATATTGCAGCAAAAAAAGGTGCACTTTAATCGCGTTTCGGTTTCTATCTGTGGATATTCAAATATCCACAGTCTAAAAAGGACGACAGATCATCTTGTTGAGAGGTTATGAAGCTGGGGTATTACACCTTCCATCAAGTAAATCCCACCATCCTCATCTACCACTTCTTCTCCTCCTATAGTTTTGTTTTCAAGTCTCAAATTAATGTATTAAAAGTATAACTGTTCACGGTCATTAAATTATTTAAAACTGTTTAATTTCAAGGTCTTTCGAGAGTTCTTCATACATGCAGATGCACCCAGAACGTTGCGTCGTGGCGACAACACCATCGTACGATACAGGCTTTTCAACTATCTTTATGAGGCACTGAGTGTGAGTTATAATTTAAGATATTAAAAAATGCATTGCATGCATGTACGAATGGACAAAGTATTAAAAGATGGCAAAATTGACGAAACTCCTATCATTGTGCTAAACACAAGTAGATACAGTTTCGAATAACAATTGTTTTCCGTTGAGCTACGCACAGACAAATCAACTTTTTGCCTGTAAAATCATTCAATGCTACCGAAAGAGGCCTCATAACCCCAAACGAGTTACAAAATTTTATTTTAAAAGATATATCTTATCCCCCTGTGACGACGGCTGCTGCAAAGCATCCAAACAACAGGTTCTAGTTAAAATAAATACAAAATAAGTTAAATATGTCTCGCGTTTAAAACCGTTAAAATGTATTTAAATCTCTACTATTCGCGTTAACTACAGACAGTACAAAGATATTCTTAAATTGGACCAGAATAAAATATTTGTAATAACAATTTCAAGGTCCAAATTCAAATTGTCACCGACTCACACTTAAACGTACTAAATGAAGACATAGAACCAGTGTGCATTGCTGGGCGATCTTCTATCGGCAGACGTGTCCAGGTCATTGCTAAAAGTCCAGGATCTGCCCGCTTCACCATCCGAGCAATAACTGCCCAAAGCTGTTCTAATGGAACTGCTCCAAGATATAAGGAAATTAGGTAAGATTTAAAAAAAAAGTCCACCAATCTTTATACAAACTTCATTCACCATTTTGTACCACCATGACCAGTATTGTCTTGTGTCTATGTAATTGGCTCTACAATTTCCATAGATCCTGTTGTTCTTACTAACCTCCCTTGGATTGATCAATGCTGATTTGAAATTTTCTTGCAGAGATGAAGTTGTTGTTCAAATGGAAGTGGATCCTGAAGGTGTGCCCGTACAAGAACACAAGTCTACAATGCTTTGTGGCAAAGGTAATGTAAAGACCATAATAAGTCAATAGTCTTAAGTGAAAAAGTATTATAATTCTGTTCGATCCTGGTAATTGAGAAATTCTCGACAGAGGTCTTCGCTTAGTCGAAAGCGTATCATCCCCTGATGCTCCTAGCTGGATACCCTTTGCCCGCGAATACCCTACATAATTTAACTGTATAATGGTAGCTATCTAGATCTAATGATCAATGGTCGTCGATTCGATCCCCATCCTATTTCTCAACGATTTAATATTTCTATAAGATGTTGGAATTTTTCTGTAAATCTATATGGAAAATATCGATATTCCACTCGGGTCACAAACCACTATCACTAAATGAAATACGTGTAAATTTCTTTACCGTTTCAACCTGTCGATTTCCGAAAACGCAAAACCTGATAGCACATTTTCTTGAGATGTTATATGGCTGAAGTACTTTCTTCCAAAAACCTTCCTTTCATTCAGGAAGTCATGGGTCTACCTATGCTGGTCTGTTCTCTTCTATGATAAAATAAATCATTATTAAGGGTTTTCTAACAGGTCCTACTTCTAAAATCCGGCAATTCTGTAACATAATATTGGACACATGTCGTCGAATTTTCCCATCCCCAATTTTCCCCAGAAATCCGTTTCCTCACGAAGTTAACTAATCCTGTATTTGGTATCTCACTTATATTTCTTTGCTCAGGTGTATCATGGTCAGCGGAATCAAAAGTCACCTGGAACTGGTCCAGAGCTGATATCGTTCCAGGAACTGAATCTGTCTCCGTATGGGCAGCAAGTGACCTAACGGGTCCCTTACTGGCAGTGAGTAATTTAGATGATATTGTAGTAGTAGACACTGCCTAGACATGAAAAAAAAATTAACAGTTTAATCTATTTTGCCTATTAGATTTACGTCCCACTGCGACCCCATGCGACCACGATTTTTAATTTATTACTTCGCTGAAACGAATTGTTTATCAACATCACAGTGTACCGATGATAGGAAATTCGAGTTCCGCCTTTGTATTTTCAATAGATTTTAGCTTATCTTATCTTAACTTATTTAAGTTATACAAAATCTGATATATATAAACATATAAAACAATGATTAATCAAATCATCATTATTGTGTTTTCAAGGACGCTGATGCTTTGGTCTTACTACCTCGTGGTTGTGGTGAACAAAACATGGCTAGATTAGCAACGAACCTTCTAGCATTAAGTCAACTGCACCCTACCTCGCCGGCTGCGTACATAGCGAAGGACCACATTGCTAGAGGTAAGTCATATATATATTTACACTAGCTGACCCGCAAACCCTGATTATAAATAATTGAATAACTAAAATGGGTAATATATTGAGGGTTCAGTGTATAAAATAAAACACTTTAACTGTTTAAAACGCGAAACATATTTGTTAAACTTATTGGAAAATTATTTATAACTAACTACTATGTATAAACTAAACGTATTCTTGGAATTTACTTAACAATTTATCAAAGCAAAAGTAAAGTCAACTCTTCAAAGTCAAAGTAAATTTTAGTCGCCTATAATTATTTTCTATAACTTATATCTATTACATGAATTAAAAATGTTGTTGTATTGTTTAGGCTTTGCTCGTCAACTTCAGTACGCCCATCCGTCAGGTGGCTTTAGTGCCTTTGGTCTATCAGACGCCGTTGCATCCACTTGGTTGACTGCTTTTTGCGTGCGGTACCTCAGAAGGGCTCATCAGGTAAACTTCTCCCTCTTTCTTAATTTTTATGAGATCACTAACTTATAGAAGTTTCGTATCATATTTTGACGAACTCGTTGGTCTAATGGTAGCAATGTACGGCTAATAATCAACGGTCATGGGTTAGATCCCCACCAGGTCCAACATGTTTCTAATTTAAATAAAACGCTTTAACGGTTTAAAACGCGATATATTAGTTAAACTTATTTGAAAATGATATTTAACTTCAGCCCGACGTTTCGGATGCTTTGCACCAGTCGTGGTGCAAATAAGTTTAACTATATATAAGTTTAATATATCGCGTTTTAAACCATTAAAGTCTTTTATTTAAATGTGTACTACTCGCGTAAACTATAGACAGTATGTTGCAAATTTTTCAATTTATCGCGTTTCAGTTTCAGTCTGTAAATTTCCGAATATCTAAAGCCAATAGGTCGACAGCGTATCTTCTTTAGATGTTACAGGCTGGGCTATATAACCTATAATTAAGTGAACCACATGGTTATCTGTCCTCCTCTAAGATTAAAAAAATATATTTGTACTTATAGACAATCTCACCAAATCAAGCTATTCCTACAGTAGTAGAAACAGCGGAGAAGTGGTTATTATCCCAACAAATGGAGAACGGATGCTTCAGGAACGAAGGACAAGTTTTTCACAGAGAACTGAAGGTGAACTATCAAATTATAATTTAAAACTTTAATATTTCTCACATGTTATTGCACTTTATGGCACTATATACATTAATAATCGAAAATAAATTGAACAAAATTTCGGCTCGGACAGGACAGGAAATTATAATTTTTAAAAATACTTAAAACGATTTTCTGCTTTTTTTATGCTTAGTACGTGCGTCATGGACGCTTTATTAAAACCCGGTGTCTTGATATGAGCCAGACGCTAATTTCAGTGTCTGCCCTAAACTATTACCGCATCTATTATATTTGTCCAGATTCTAACCTAGATCCTCTAGGAGTTGAGACAATTTTAGCAATGTTTGAGATATTGAGGTTGATTTGCCCAATGTCAAAACCCAAAATAAGTCAACACTCTCTGTACACCTAGCGCAGACTATAAATAAATTGTTATAACAATATCGTCAGCATAATCAACTCTTCTATCTTCTCCTCAGGGTGGACTCAATGAAGATGGAGAAGTAGCAAGCGTGACCCTCACAGCGTACGTGATAACATCCTTGATAGAGAGCACCCTCCCGATTCCCTATAGAGTCATCCAAAACTCCCTATCTTGTCTCAGAGCTTTACCCCCCAAGAAAGCCCCCTCCAAAACATACGCATACAGCATAATAACGTATGCATATATGAGACTTAAACGGTATGAGAGGAATTTAAGCCAAGCTAACGAAGCTCTATCTTACAAGAGTGATAAATATCCATCTAGCTTGGGAGTCGATGAAGAAATGAGAGAAATGATAGGATTCTTGAAAATGGCGAAGAGGAATGGAGATTACGTCTGGTGGGAGAGTGGTAAGTTGGCTTGCATAAGCCGGACATTTGGCTGTAGCCGTTTCATAGATTTTTCGTAAAGATCGTTTGTTTACAGATAAGTTAACCAGGCATGTACGGTACCCAACAGTCATTCTATATAATGTTTTTTGGGATAAAAACCCACCTCTCTCTCACCTCTCTCTTGACACTGTTTAATAAGCTATAAGGTCTGTTTTCATTTATGTTGTGCCTTTAAAAATCCTATGAGTTTTGGTATTTATTGATGGCTTTATTTTTTAATACTACTGGTAATAAATACATGACGAATCATATTTTTTTTGATACGCGAAGAATACTTGGTACTCCAAATAATCGTCATGAGTACAATAGACTATTTAAGTAGCCTATAGCCCCAAGTGTATTAACAATAACAACAAATAAACAAAATAAAACAACAGCGGGCAGTAATCTACGCGACCGACGAACTAGTATTGACTCTGAACAAGATTCAATCGTTTCCCAAGAGACTTTCTCTGACCTCCAAACATCTACGTTATTTTCAAAATAGGTTGTCAATGGCCGTCTGTCATTTGTCAACGACAGCTTATGCAAGAAATGCTACTTGAAGTTTCCGCATATCCGTAATAAGCTTATAAGAACTATCCGGTCGATTCGGTGCTCTTAAGATGGTTCTGCGACATATGAGTATTATCTATTGGTATTGGTATATTATCTGTATTGATAACTTCCATTTTAGGCAGTCTTGCGACGTCCATTGAAGCGACTGGTTATGCGTTGCTTGCGTTGTCAGAATGCGTTGCGGAATTGCGCGACACCTGCGCAAGCGATGCTACGCGCGCAACCTTGTGGTTGGCGACACACGCCAACGCTGCTGGTAGTTTCGTGTCAACACAGGTACCTACTTTAATGTTTTGACAATTGTCTTAAGCACCGTTGAATATCAAAAAGTCATAATCAAACAGTTCTACTTAAATTATTCGTATTGCCGCTATAACAACAAACAGTAAAACAAATTAAAGTAAATATTTACCGTCTGTAGTTTACGCAATTAACACAAATAAAACACTTTAACGGTTTAAAACGCGTTTAATTCATGCTTTGCAAAGATGATTTTTAAGATGCTTTGCAGCGGCCGTTGGCACGAAGTCTACCCGTGACCACAGCTGCTGCAAAGCATCCTTAACTTCGGGCCGTAGTTAAAAATAATTTTCAAACAATTTAGTTGATTAATCTTATTCTTCCTCTTCTAGGACACACTAATAGCATTAGAAGGACTTAGCAGATGGTCGTCCATTCTACCACCAAACAGTAACTTAGCAGTAAGAGCAGCCAGTGGTGTCGTCAGTAAAACGGTTACTGTATCGTCAAAGAGCAAACTACCTGAGATTATAAAACTTCCTGTGGGAGACATCAATGTTTCTGTTGATGGTAAGTTCCTAACATTTTATTCTTATTAAAATCTATTTTTTAAAAATATAGAATGACTTGAAGCGGCACTCTCAGCCTTCCGTGCTGCTCCTCTAACCAATTGAGCTACGGTGTTCTAAACGTCACCTTTGATCACCAATTGATACACGCACCTCTCGCGCAATGTAATTTCGATCCTAACCAAGTCCCACCAGTGTAATCCAATATCTTAGTTTTAAAAAGTGAATTCCCGTTTCCCTCTCGTGGGGCATGCGGCGAACACATATTTTGTGTTCGTTTCACTAATGTGTTCTTTAACAGGCAAGTAGTTGATCAGACTTCTGTGCCCTGCGCGACCGAAAAATTTTTGTGTTTGGGTTTAGAACCCCGGGCCTCTCGCGCTTAAAGCAATGCTAGGCAATACGTTTAACCATTTGGCTACGGAGGCGGTCTCTCCGTCTTAAATCTAAATATATTTTAATTTATATTATGCCATCATGTGCAATAACGTGTGAAAATTGTTAAATTTTCTAGTATTATCTATTACAAAAAGCAGAGAATTTGTTTTAAACTTTACTTTTATGCTAATTAGTACTAGTCTTAATACAACCTGTAGCTCAATCGTAAAATAGTCTAGAATTGTAATAATTACAAAAGATTTAAGTCCCGGGAAAACTTAACAGCCTTAGTCACTACAACTACTGTCAACGAAATCAATCTTTTGCGATACTATAAAATGTCTATAGAAAGAGATAGATATAGATAGAGGAGAATAGACAAGTATGGGGATCACTGGATGGAAGATACAAGAAGATCAACCTATTTTGGCTTCAGAAATCCACTGACTGAATTTACCTTCACGGCTTTTTCACCTAACGGAAGGAATTTTTGACATTCCTACCACTCGATATATCCAGATTTCCAAACGAAGTCCAACAATTTTCAGAGAAATTATAAATTGATTAATTGACACGTTGGCCCGGGCGGAGTTCACCCGTTTAGTATTTACATTGCTACCATTAGAACGAGCCAAACCAATTCTTTACTAACAATGTGTTTAAATAAAACACTTTTACGGTTTAAAACGCAATATAGTATTTAAACTTATTTAAAAATGATTTTTAATTCTTAAGTTTAAAGTGTTTTATTTAAATGTGTACTACTCGCGTAAAGTATAGATAGTATTTTATACAATTTGTTTCAAAATCAGTACACATACTAACTTATATTTTAAGTAGATACCTAAAGGATTTCCTAGAATAAATAGTTAGAATAAAGCTACCAATAAAGAAATCTTCCAGGTGTAGGCTGCGCTTTAATCCAAGCGACTCGAATGTATAACACTCTGTACCCAGACGAAAAACAGAGCACGTTTTTGAAGGTTCAAGTGGATGTACAAACAGACGGAGTGTTTAACTGCGACGGGAATAATACCTGCTACTGCCCCGCTGTTGTCGAGGTATGTTAAATACCTATGTTTATAAATATGTTATTAACGGTTTAAATATGTTTAGAACCGGTAAAATAGCCAATTGGCTAACGAAGCTAATTTGACTTTGCTACCCCATTTTCAGTCAACACGTGAGCACGGTTGCATTCGAAACGTCGGGTCGTTGCTAAAATAAGTTTAAACAATGGTGTTCGTTGTGTGGGATATTAGTTTGCGGTAGGAATGATTCGAACGGTACTCTATTATATTCATAAAAACCAATGCGACGCCAGAGTCGCTGTTTAATTATATCTACAACATGAAACACTTTTAACAATCTTTAACTCTCCACGTGACTTCCGAAACATTAATAAAATAAATACACTTTAAAAATCGAAAATAAATTGACAAAATGTTCGACTCGGGCAGGACTTGAACCGGCATCGTCAGCTTTCCGTGCTGTTGCTCTATCAATTGAGCTACCGAGTCCTACACCTCATCGTCGATCTTTTTCAACTTATTGATAAATGCACCTCTCGCGCAGTGTAATTTCAACCTTAACACTTGCGGTTCAGGTCCTGCCCGTGTCGAAAATTTTTTCAATTCATTTTCGATTTTTAAATTATATAGTGCCTTCATGTGCAATAACATGTGAAAACTTTGTTTATTTTAGAGGAGGACAGACCAGCATTTTTTAGAAAAAACCTGTTAACTGATTAGAAAAATATTGGACCCGGTGGGACGCGAACTCATGACCGGTTGATTATTAGCCATACGTTGCTACCATTACATTATAAACCGTTAGAAGTGTTTTATTTTATGAGTATATATGAGGCCGCTAGAGGCAGAGTAGCCTAACTGCAGTTTTATGACTTGCGTTCTTAAGACTTTCATAGTCTAAAAATGTTAATCTACAAGAGCACAGTGACCGTAAAATGTTTACATAATTCCTACACAAATAATAGTACAAATTCATGTTCGCCGCAATTAAATGCGCAATTTTATTTTCCTCCTTATTGAAAATCACGTTTATTAGGCCTCTCTGCCTCTAGGAGCCCTATGTTAACAAGAGATAAGCATATAATATCTTTAAGGTATGTGCGGAGTGGAGCGGTTCTTTCCCCGAGATGGCGCTACTGGAAATGTCACTTCCTGGTGGGTTTGGTGCTGATGCAGAATTGCTTTATCGACAGCAACTGAATACGGACACTTGTAAGTAAACAAAAGTTTTTAATATCACTTATTACTGAAATTATTCATGAAAAAGTGCATTAATATTTTTACCCCTTCGGACAATAATTAAAGCTTAATTAGATCGACTTAACCTACAAATTAAAAAGATAAATAAAGACATAAAAAGGTAAAGGCCAGTACCTACTAGTGTATTTGATGTTTATATATTTTTGTACGTTTAAATGCGATGAACGTGTTTACATAGAGCTTAGTTTAAGTAAAATGGTAATTATAAAACAATATTGTTTAATTCCCGGTAGGAAATCAAAGTTTTAGCAATTTACACTATTTAGATTAAATAACAATGAGAGAAATTACATTTAAAAAACTATGACACGGCTGAATCAATCCAAAACATAACGTTTCGTGTTGTTGCTATTACGAACAAAGCTACTATATCGGACTTACTTTATTTTTATCAAATAGATAGATAAGGATTGTTGTAGTTTACACGAGTACTTAGTACTTACCCCTCTAACAGTTTCAAACGCGAAAAATATAAAAAATTTAAAAATCGAAAGTAAATTTTGACTCGGCACGGCGAGTTCCGTGCTTTTGCTCTACCAACTGATTTACGGTTCATGTCCTTCCTGAGTGGATTTTTTTTTAAATAAAGTTTTCAAATATTCAAAATTGTTGGTATAAATTAAAGTTATTTAATCTCTGTATAAAATGCTGTTATGTGATGAACATTATTACCAAAAAAATTAGGTGGACTTAAACAGGTTATGGTGTTTAAATTAATTACTTTGACGGTTTTAAACGCTATACTGTAAGTATATACGTTATACTTATTTCCGACGCTTGAGCTGCTTTGCAGCACCTGTGATCACGGGAGACCATAAATATAAGTTAACTAATATCGCGATTTATACCGTTTAAATTATATTTTATGTGTGCTATTACATCACACCGCCTTTGTAGCCAAATGGTTAAACTTATTGCCTAGCATTGCGTTAAGCGCGAGAGGTCCTGGGTTTAAATTCCAGGGAACCAAAAAATTGATCAGTCAGGCAGGGCACAGAAGTCTGATCAACTACTTGCCTGTTAAAGAACAGATTAGTGAAACGGACACAGAAATGTGTTCGCCCCATGCCCCACGAGGGGGAAACGGGATTTCACAAACATTAAATCACAGACGTTACTAATTCAATTGCGTTTATACTCAATTCCATTGAAGAGATATTTTAAACATTCCCATGAATATTCGAAAACGTTGATAACGCGTGACAGGATGCACCATTGTGAACGAATACAAAGGAACAATTCATAACATCCTCCTCAATATGAGCATTGTCACATTTTGAGAGCTTCTAGACCGCGCACTGTACCGCACAGTTGCTAGATAGGCAGCAACGTCCTTTTATGGAAACACATTTTAAATAAAACACTTTTAACGGCTGCAAATCACGTCGAGACACAAGAGAGCAAGGTAGAGAAGAAAGTCTTGCCCAGTTCGTTGTATAAAATATTGTCTAAAATTATTTATATTACAATAAACAAACACTATATATAAAATTCTCTTGTTTGTTTGTGCGAGAACAACTATAAAATGCCTAAATATATTTTATTCAAAGTTTGTAGTCGTTAGAATAGATAGACTAGATAACACTAAATATATAGATAGATAAATTTGTTTAATAATAGAAATAATGTATACTATTAAAAAATATTGTAGGGTCAGCTATTGTTTATGTGTGCTAGTATTATAAAGCCGAAGAGTACGGTTGTGTCAACGCGCTAATCTCAGGAGCTATTGGTTCGTATTGAACAAGCAATCAGATTCCTCTTTGACGGTTTTAGTTGCGTGCGCTTCGAAAACGGTACAAGATATACGAGAAATTTGTATGAAAGTATAATTCATCTTTAAATGATATAAACAGTATATAGTGTCCCGTACATTTACGGGACACTATATGGGCCAAAATACTTTTAAGTGCCTAATCCGAGAACACAATTCAGATTTTTTTTTCAAAATTGAAATACTTAATTTCCTTTTTTTAAATGCTGAAATAGATATGTTATAGTTCTATTTATAACACACCTACCTCAGCAGCGATGGTTTAAATGATTTAATAATATTTATAGCATATAATACATCAAGTCGTCGAGAAATTAAACAACTGCGTAACTATTTTACAGATGAGGTTATTATTTAATAAATCGGACATTGAGACTTAATAATACGTCAGTTTTAAACTGTAGTGATTATATGAATCACCTATAAAGCAAAATCACAGAAATAATCAGTTTCATCGAATTTTCATGTTTAATTAGATACACTGCGTTACCTATGTTAAATATTAAAACTTAAACTTTTCCATAAATTACAAAAATAAACTTAAAATTAATTCCAATTGACAACATAGTATTGTTCTTGTCATAAATAGTACGTACGTATAAATTTAAGACATTTTTGACAATAAGAGTCCTTTGTATAATTAAAGATACAATAAAAACAAGAGGGACACAAAAGTAACGCAGTATTAATCTTCGTAACACAGTAGTATTTTTTATATACTATACTTTGTAGTTTTAATAGAGATCTTTATAACAAAACAATTTTAACTGTTCATGACTCGACATAAAATTAAGTACCTCAAGTAACATAAAACGTTTGCCTACGTCAATATTTGTTAAGAATTAATATACCTTAATGAGAAAATCAACTGTATAAACTAACGAGGCACTATATCTTCAGTCTCTCTTCAGAATTTTTTTGGCTTGTCATAATTGAAGTATAATCTTTTACCTTTCACGACAACTTTGGGGTTAGGGACAATTTCTACAATGTTTTCGTATGGTTCGTAAGATATATCGGTATCTACTGCTTTGAATCTTTTGCCAGTGTCGTCAATTGTCTTGTAAAACATAATTTTAACGTCCCCTTCTTCATCAACTTTACTTTTAACAACACCAAGGAAAGTATATTATTTTTCCTTAACATAAGTAACTTTTACTAAAACATGGACACCTTCATATATCTTCGTAGGATGAACATTTTCCTTTTCAATTTGCTGTATTTCACGTGCGTGTTCCTGTACGTTAGATGTTGACACTTAGCACAAGCTTAATAAGGGCTTCTCGTTAGAGCTAGAAGACGAATAATAAACTTCTAATAAATCTTGTAATACGTACCTTAAAGGTACGGCAACAATATTAGTAATGTCATCAAGGACTATATCATTATCCGATTCATCAAATGGAACGTCTTCTTTACGTGTGTCAATGATGGGATATGTTTGTATGCAGGCTGATATGTTTTTGGATTCATGCATTAACAAAAACCCCTCTTGCAAAAACAACTAAGGTCTCTTTAGCGAAGTTCACCCAAAGTGTGAGTAAAAACCTGATGTATTGCATCGTACCCTGAAGTGGCACTAGACTTTCAGGTAGTGTTTTTTCAACGTTATGAATATCACTGTCAGTCAGTGTCACCAAGTAAAAACGGACCTTGCTTAAGTCTTTTAGGGTGTCAAAAAATTCTTCTGCATTAGAAATATTTGAACTAACAGCAACTTTTTTATCTGCACTGCGTTTGAGATAGCCGCCAACACCACCAGCAGCCCCTTTGCCGTGCCCAGCTTCAAAGATGACTTTCAAGATTCAGCTTCAAAGAAGCTTTCAAGATTCCATGTAACGCGTATGATGTTTTACTCAGTGAATATTCGGTGACTAATGAAATAAAAATTTTGCTTCTGTCGATACTGAGTAGCTGGTCCATCGGAGAAAAAATGAATTGTAGTTATGTTAGGATTGTTATGTTGTATGTCACTAATTATTGGATGTAAGTGTGCCCAGATAGAGGCTGGATTATTAGAATTATTTGCAGATATGGTACGAAATTCTCATAATCCAGCTTCAGCATTTTTTACCGGGTCTTGTTTAAATTTTTATCTATAGCGACGTTGTTTTTCTGCGTTTGTCAGCGCCATTTAGGACAGAAACTTTTTTCTGAGAAAAAAAGATACAATTTTCCTATAGCTATATCGGATTTAAATACGTATACTGTTTATAAGTAACAAAAATACAACTACGTTATCTATCTAACTACTGCGTTACTTTTTTTTGTAACGCAGTGTAGCAGTTACGCAGTTGTAAATATTTGACTAAATTGTAAATAATTTCCAAATCAAATAATAAAATCCAGATATTTTTACACTCACGGTTGCAATACATACCTAAATGCGTAATAAAACAATAATAACGTGAAATATCATCAGGACGTAACATTAACAGCGGTAACTCAGCAGACAGACAATAGATACACGCACCTCCTTCACGGACCGGGACGCGACCAGCACGGCGAGAGTACTGCCCACGCGCTGTTGCTGTCGTTTGTTAAACGAGTTACTACAAATCGAACCAAATAATGTGCAAGTAACCTTAATCCAATCATTTTAAAGTCTTTTTTCATACAGTAACGCAAGGTAGCTACGATATTGTTACTCGTTGGGGACACAGATACATTAATTTTTTATTTTACTAAATGTTCAATTTAAAACGTTTCTAATGCCATTCTAATAACGTCCAAACCTTGCATTTTTATTATACCATCTATAATTAACCGCCACCTAGGAAATATTTTGAGAAATTGTTCCGTATAGTTTGGCACACATGCTCAGGGACATAGATATTTAGTATGAAAAACGGCTGCGTTACTAAAAATGGCAACTTTGTTACTGTAAATTTTCAATTAATAACAATTATTTCAGTTCAAATCATGTGTTTTGTATTAGATAATAATGTTAAATTTTAAAATGATTATACTATTGTCACAATTTTGTATCGGATTCGCATTAAATGTAATGTTAATTCCAGGGACTGGTTTTTAGGCATCAAAAAGTATTTTGGCCCATATACTGTTTATATGAACTTAAATGGGACGCTACCTACATCAAGGGTAAGAGCTATTATTTAAAAAGATGAAAAGTTTAGCAAAAATACGTTTTGATTCCCAAAGTAACTCTACGCGGACGAAGTAGCTGGTACAGTTACAAAAAAATTGAATACTATCAGCTCTTTATTAGAAAATAAAACGAAAATATACCCGAGCATGTTCGCCAGCGAAATATACAAAACAGTAAAAAATTAATAAAATAAAATAAAAACACGTAAACAAAAATATGAAGAGATGCATTCTGGGTAGAGCCGTTTCATTTGTCCACTCGTACAGTACTCCACTGTAGTTGTACAGAGGTTGTGACGTATAAAGCCTCCATCCAGGTCACTCGGTCACGGCTCCGAGCTTACCAGCACAATACGTGCAGCGACGCTAATTAAAAAAAAGTTATTTTATAATAGCGAAAGCGACTATTTTCTATAGCCTTTATACACTTTATCTAAAAGTTCCCAAAAGCTTTTTAAAATGACAAAAATGGCCTTTATAATAGTAAAAAGTTGAATTCGATATAAATAACGTTGTATTTTCATTTATTAGCATTTTTTATTACACGTCACGTACGACCTGTTCTCGAATTCAAAACCAAGAGCGCACAGTGTGTGGTACGTACAGCACTTGACGCGGATTCGAATCCAAGCTGAAACATAGGGTTTTAATTCGCGAAAAAGTATACAATTTATGGTATACTTTTCTATGATAAAGGAGGAGAGACAAGGAGAGGCATCTACACAAGTCACGCTGTCGGCCTATTTTGGATTTGGACATTTAGAGATCAATAGCCTGAAGCCGAAACGCGAGTTCATTTCACGACTCCAAGCTGGGTGTAATTTCTATACTCCCACCATTTAATATCCAGATTTTCTATAGTTTACGCGAGTAGTACACATTTAAATAAAACACTTTAACGGTTTAAAACGCGATATATTAGTTAAAAAGTGCTGCAAAGCATCCGAAACGTCGGGCCGAAGTTAAAAATCATTTTCAAATAAGTTTAACTAATATATCGCGCTTTAAACCGATAAAGTGTTTTATTTAAATTTAGAAATATAACATGTTTCTGATATTTAAATTTAATTATAAACATGTTAGACGGTTAAAATCGAACTTACGACCTACGATCATTAGCGTTGGTATCATTGGGTTAGCTCGTTCTTGTATTTCTTTCAAAATTGTTCCAAATTATTTTTTTTATTGCACACACAAAGGTATGGCTGTTAGAGGCAGAGAGGCCTAATAACAAAAAACATGATCTCCAATAAGGAGGAAAATAAAAATGCGAAATAAATTAATTGTGTAACAATTTTCGCTCACTGTGCTCTTGTAGACATTTTTAGACTATGAAGATATAAATAAGTCAAGTCATAAAATGGCAGTTAGGTTACACTGCCTCTAGCGGTCTCATATATAGGTAATACTTACTAATTAGGTATATCGAACGATTTCATTTGCTTTTTGATAGTCAACATTAATCTAGAACAGGATAAACCGCACCTAGCTCAGTCTCCAAGGATGACGCACTCAAACCGATGTGACGTAATGGCAGCACGTTTGATGTCACATTAACCTGAATAACTAAGCTTCGCGGTTTCTATTTCAGGCGGCTTTGGGATATTAAAATCCATTTTAATATGGCGTCACCTTTGAAAACTAATATTTTTCACATGTTATTGCACCAGATGGCATACTAATATATAAAGCTAAAGAGTTTGTTTGTTTGAACGCGCTAATCTCAGAAACTACTTCATCAGATAATTTATCGAGGAAGCAATAAAACATCGCGCTGCAACTAATAGGAGTGAAGAAATAGTGGAAAGTGTGGAAAAACGGGAAAAAATTATCATCTTTCTGGGTTTCCGATGCATACGTTGCGAAAACGGTTCAAATAAACAAGTAATATGTAGAAATGAATGATTCTACTTTGAATTATTAAAAAAAAATCTATAGTATATGTCTATCTTTTAAGATTAACTTGTAAGAGCAACGGGTCGCGACCAACGTCGCGGGTAACAGCTTATATTTCTAAATACGAAGAGAGGAATTTGAATGCCCAAAAAATTTATTCTACGCGGATGAAGTCACGGACACAGCTAGTCGTTTATAAATTTAAAATAAAATAACCTAAAAACAGTGTTTGATGGAGACAAAATCGCGGGCACGGTTATACAATATGTTTTAATCATTTTTCATACATATTTAGATAAGTTATCGGTTACGCGGAAACGCCGTATCTATATATCGTTGTTAAATAAATATAAAAAAAATTATAAGTAATTGGCATGACTTCTCTGGGCAATGTAAAAGATTACAAGATAGAAGACAAAAAACAAAGAAAATGGTATTAAAGATGGATTTTTTAATATAGCTAGTTCCCTAAGGATTTGCGTATAAATTTTTAAACATAGCCCGTAACTTACTCTGCGGCCTTTCAACTTAGTATACGGCAAATTCACGTAAAATCCTTGGGTTTGTTGGTTCTCAACCAACAAACGCATTTTCCGTCCTTATTAGGATTTTTTTTCTCAAATTTTATTAGATGACTTTTATTATAAACTTTAATAATTATTTTGTATTGACTGAACTTTCGCACAACTTGCTCGTTGTCTATTTAACTTGTAAGTTTATTTCTAGTCGCGTTGTCTGGAATAGATAGTCTATAGCGATAAGGCTGCCCGGTGCACTCTATAATTGTTTTATTTACTTGATAATTGTATATTTTGTGTAACAAGTGAGTAATTTATTCATAAGGTACACAAACAAAAAACAAACTATTAAAATAAGTCTTAAGGAACTATGTGATAAATTAAGTTTGTATCTCAATTACATGCGTACACGGAGAAACTAAATCGTATTGTTTCCAAAAATAATACTTATATAATAAAAATAAATAAACCCACTTTTGCGGAATGGATTGTTTAGCTGTCAAACTTTAGTACTAGTGTCATTAATAAGTTCAGAACCGCCTCTGTAGCCAAATGGTTAAACGCATTGCCTAGCATTGCGTTAATCGCGAGAAGTTCTGGGTTCAAATACCAGGGAAACATAAAATTGTTTCGGTCGGGCAGGGCACAGAAGTCTGATCAACTAATTGTCTGTTAAAGAACGGATCAGTGAAACGAACACAAAGATGTGTTCGCCCCATGCCCCACTAGGGGGAAGCGGGCTTTCACTTTACATTAATAACTTGTCTAGAATATTAAATATTTTACTTGTCATTATCAATCTTGCAAACCACTAAAGGGTTGCAGACCGGATGCAAACCAATATAACTGGGTTTACCGGTGTAACGAGAAAGGGTTTTCTTATGTTTTGCCTTATTTGATCTAGATTATATTATAAACGACGTGCAAGGGCCTGATTTGGCTATCCCTATCCCGGGGTCTCCACGATATATGGTCCTACTTTGAAATCGAAATATAGAAATATTATTACCCAGGTCCGACCCCAGGACCTTTCAAGCCTTACTCAAAGTCTGATGCTCTCGAGAGACCAGAAAGATTATAAAATTGTTGCCATCGGGCATAGAAGACAAATCATCTAACATAAAATGTGTTCGCCCCACAGAGCAACTGTATTTAACTTCTATACATTTCCTAGTACTTCGCCGGATAGAGCTGTCCTCGAACAATGGTCGTGTGACTCTGTACTTGGGTTCAAGAGACGGCAGCGACACCGTCAGAGGTGGTCACCAATGTTATAAGATTCACGCGGTGGGACCCAAAGCGAAAACTAAGTCTGCGCACGCAAAGATTCTCGACTACTATCGACCGGAAGTTAATGATATCCAGGTAAAGTAAGAGTTTGTTATATGAGATTTGAAGATAAATATTTCAGTAGATTTAAGTCATGTATTGCGACAAATATGTATGGATGTTAACCTTAGTCTTACCTATATCTAACTAGGAATATATAAGGTCTTGTCTCTTTTTCTAATTTCACGTTAATATTTAATAATTTATTTGAATTAAATTTTGTCGAGAACGATCATGGAATACTATGTAGTTCTAATCAAGGGTGCCATACGTTTCTAATCGATTTATAACTTTTCTAAAACACGTAAGATTTCATCCGGGAATCTGGATTTTAAATTGATGGTAGGAATATCGAAATTCCATCCGGGAAAATTGCCACCGTCCATAGATGAGTGAGCCAGGCCAGTGTTGATTTCGATTTTTTTTTTCCTCACCTTGATGCTTGTATGTCTAAAGGTGTTATCCATCAAACAATTATGTTACAGATGTATACCATTCCTGAAGAATGTCCTCCCCGGGTCAGCCACAATTCCATCGATCCAGTATCATCAGACAATTTATTCGGCGCAGCGCGATCTATAAATGGAGATATTTTGATTAACTATGATTTCTCATTTGAAGATATCCCGGAAGGCATTCCACTAGAGGATCCGTTATATGACAATCTTTCTGAGAGAAATGAAGATGAAGAAAAATCGACTGACGCCAATGAAGTGATGATCACAGATAATTCAAAACACGACAAGAAAGATAGTAAAGAAAACGTTAACACATTTAATGAAGAACAAAAACGTGAAGCTGGTAGAAATAATAGTGATATTAAATTTGCCCATCTTAATCGTAATAACTCAGAAGAAATTAACAAACAACCTGCTTTGATTAATAAGACTTACATGGAATTAAAAATGCCTGAGTTTGATGAGAAATTTCAAAAATCAAATACGCAAGGGGCTCCAGACTTAAAAAAACAAAGCATTTCTTTGGGGACACAAGGTCCAAAAAGTAAAGACAGAGAAGCAACGGATACATTTTCCCATTTCCACATTATAGATACAGATAGAGACCTGGACGTACCTACTGGGGTCGAGGGTCCAGTGCCATCAATAGCACTACCACCTGAAAATTTTTTCGCCAGATCAGGTATATATTTAAGTGACGGTTACTGTTTCAACGTGTCTATTACGACCGGTATTTTTTATTTACAATGCTCGTGGTGTCATACCAAGAATTTAGCAGTTAACCAATAAGCATATATATCAATATTTTTTTAATAATTATGTATATACATACATATTAGAATACTTCTGGTACAAAACTAACATTCATTCCTGAATATAATTTAAATCAAACACTAAGTGATTAAATAATAAAAAAACTAATTTTTACCTACGATCTGGCATTTCCGATCCGTGAAAGCAGCTGTAGCCGTGACCACAGCTTTAGTAATTATTTTATTTTGGCTTTTAAACCGTTTATGTTTTTTTATTGTTGTTACTCGGTTAAATTATATTTTCAAATAAAAAAACATTAAGGGAATACTGTCTGTCTTTTACGCGAGTAGTTCACATTTCAATTAAACACTTTACGGTTTAAGACATTATTTAAGACTTTAACAGTTTAAAACGCGATATACATTAGTTAAACTTGTTTAAAAAAAATTTTTTACTACAGCCCAACGTTTCGGATTCGTTGCAGCAGTCGTGGTCACGAGGGAACTTAATGGTTCAAAATGTGAAACATACATTTTTTTTTAACCGATTAAAGTGCCATCAAAAATGTACCACTCGTGTATAGACTTAGTATAAATAAATACAATCCCCAAATTTCCAAGAATTGGAAAGTCATAAAATTTGCTATTTTTATTTCAGGACAGCGACATAAGGACGTAACGCGTAAAATATATCCAACGAACCCTTTCATCAGGCCATTTAATCATGAATACTACTATAGGAAAACCCTAGCTTAAGCGAAGAAGACTGATTTCCAATATTATTTTATGTATTTATTTATGTAAAAAAACTAAATGTATGTTATACTATAGTCACTTAGCGAACTTTGTTTAAGTTAAATGAAAGTGTGGTAATAAATGGATGTTCTGAAATAGTTTTTTATTACCATAAAACACTATCAAGATGAGAAGAGGTGTGAAGAAAAATTTCATTACCAATATTATATATTAACTTACTTGTGTTTAAAATTCGATGACAGAAGCAGGAATCGAACCCATGACACGATAGTGTGTTTGAATCTCGTGTCATTTCTAAGCCTATTATAGTAAAGGTAGTGAATGTCGCTTTTAAAAATAGTTACGCAGTCTTTTAGTAACAGCGGCGAATAATTTGAAACGGACAGACAAATTGATATGTTTAAATTAGGTTGATGTCCCGTGCAGGCGAGCGAGGGCGAATGACTCATCCGTTGTACACATTGAATCATGCATTGCAGATATATTAATAATAGCGATATCGTTCCAATCTACTAATGACCCACTGCTGGGCATAGTTACAGAAGAGAGCTGTAAGAGTAGACCCCCCACACTGTTCCAGTGCAGATTGGTGAGCTGTAACGACTACCGCCACAAGGAGTCATAATTAAGTTTAAACACACTTACAAACTCCATGAATTATTACCCAAATTTTCAGCCAAGGTTTGAACCTGAAATATCGTGTTCTGAAACACACCCAGGCAGTTAGTAATAGATATATGTGAACCAATAAAAATATACAGGTAGCGACTATTCCATTAAAGACATCGATTACATAAAATAAATTAAATGTATTGAACAAACAATATATTAACTAAGAATGATATCTGCATTTGTAAATGTTATATATATTAGTTTTCCTTAAGCAAGTTAAGTTTGTAATTGTTGTATATCAGAATAATACAAGAAAATAAGATTTAATGGTTAAAGTAATAAAAAGAAAGAAGAAATAAAGACACATGTGTAAAAGCAAATACAGAGGTCAAATAACATAATTGTTTTATATCAAAGAACATATACAAAAAATCGGCCATCAAAGAAAAACCAGATGTTAGCAACATTTTCATATATATTTTTATTCAAATTAATTAAATCATACGTTACAGAATACTTGAAATTGTATGTTTCTTTTAAATTACAAAATAATTCTTACTCGGGAGTTATATTATTACATATAAAAAAATGCTTTTAATCACTCTCAATCTCAGTAATGACAATTCATGGACAATATAATTTCGGCCACAGTATTTGAGCAACCTCCATAGGCTTCAATTTTAAAAGACAATATATTGTGCTTGTTGCCCACACTGCTACATGCACTGGCATTAAAGCTACATGGACAATTAAAATTAACTATAATTAAATGCACCATTACAAACCTTTCCATGTTTAGCAGACTGCACACATTATGCAAGCAATTTGAAACAAATAATACTGTCCTTTGACGGATTGCAAAGTGATATTGATGGGAGAACGGAAGCTTTACATTTCATAATTGACATGAATTTACTGAAAGGAATTTCATACCTTTATTTTATTACTGTTTACAATAATGTCAATAAAGTTAACTGAATAAAAGGCCTGCTATGGATCTATATAGACTCTAGAAGGTCCTAATTACAATTTACAATCTTTCCTATAATCTCTGCTATTGACAACTCGGGATGTCATGGACACTATCGGGAACACCACATCGAAGCGGGCAATAATTTAATACTCAATCTCCTTCCATAATGAGAGTAACAAAATGCAATAAAATTTAACAGTTTACAATAGCGATTTCTCTATATCATAGATAAATATGCGCCGGGGTTGCATCCCTCGGGGCCAGTAAACATTTGAACAAGACTTTCTCTTAAGTGAATATGTACAGAGGCATGGACCACGCTGCAACTCAGAGCGCAGCGGCAGGACATCATTGGCTCTTGAGCTCCTTTCCGATCGTGTACGAGACCAAACGAGCCCAGTCTATCTTACTGCGGGTCACGGGTAGCTGTCGCCGCAGTGCTTTGAATGTGGTGTCGCTCATTGTCTTGTAGTTATCAGATATCGCGGTCTGGTACGCATTCTCTGCGTCACACACAAGTCTCACAAATTCTTTTGCTGTAGCAACCTCACCTGTAGCTATCAATGGCGCACGTACTTCTTTAGAACTAACCAATTGTACGTTACCATCCTCATAGTAATGCACTTGTACTCGAAGCATACCACGGAGCTCCGCAGCACCGCTACCCACAGTCAGTGACCAGACGGACCGCCATCGCCCATTCCAGTAGTTTTTCGGCTGGAATTGATGATCTTCGATGCACGCAACGAGCGATACGGATCCAGACTCAAGGGCCCGTCCGACAACTAAACTAGCGCCGTGTTTGTAATGCTCCGCAACATAGTTAGTTAACTCGACGTCTAACGCAGCCCGCCAGGGCTCCGCCACTCTGTCGGGTTCATAAGGTTCGTATTCTAAAGCTTCCTTGCGTAGGTGATCGTACTTAAAGGACCGCTTTGATCGAGGATCGAAGAATCTTCCTCCGCCGAGCTCATTGTGATCTGTAATAAGCGTATGAAGCTCGGATCCTTCGAGGCGCACGGGTGTGAGCTGGTCCTTGTTGTATTGTGAGAAAGCTCCGCTAGCACCCTCCTTGAGTAATGTATCGTTGTTCAATAGAACTCTTACATCATTAAACACTTCGTTAAATTCGCCCGGAGGAGAATGTAAAATAAAATCTGAAACAATTCTAACTTTTTCTTGATCACTTATCACTTCGTCACCGTCCGCCGCCATTTTTGATTTTAATACATTTGACAAATAATAATTGAAATAAAGAGGAAACACTAACTTTGACAGGAATTCTGACAACTCAGACTTCTACAGATTCAAGTAGTTGAATCTAGTAGTTGCATGCAGATGAACAATAAAGATAATAATATTTTTTTAAATACTGTCTATAGTTTACGCGAGTAGTACACATTTAAATAAAACATTTTAACGGTTTAAAATGGGATGATATGTTAGTTAAACTTATTTGAAAATGATTTTTAACTTCAGCCCGACGTTTCGGATGTTTTGTAGCAGCCGTGGTCACAAGGAGACCGAAACGTCGTTTTAGTTAAAAGTTAAGTTAAACGAATTTATTATTTAAAATTTTATGCATTGCTATCATATTTTGTAAATTATTACTTATTTACTGGTTTTCGCAAGTTTTACTGCATGCATCTGTCCCCAGTGTTAGTAACTTCAATCGCTATCGTGAATCGTCTGTGGCACGGTTGTGTAACTTTAGTGACAGAAATAAACTTCGATTTTCTCAAATACGAAGTACCTTTCGGGTATTTATTTAAAAAATGTCTTTACTAACATATAAATACTATGATACACCTGAAGGCGAAGACATATTTAAGAAGACCTTTGTAACTTCAAAATATGCAATCTTAGCAAGTATTCCTCCTGCAATATTTGACGTACTTTTATATTCTCACCCCAAGGGGTTTTTCAATACAGCTCTTCGCTTTGGAACATATTTGGGGCCAGCAGTTGGAATGGCTACGGCTTTTACTCTTACTGCTAATATAAGTCAAAACATAAGACGTAAGTTCCTTAATTTATTGGCCTGAATGATCCCTTGAACAGAAACAGTGAGAAGTGTGAAGACCGCAGGGTACGATTGACCAGGCTTCCAAATCTATCATACCCTACTCTTACCCTCAAACAGTTTTTTTGGAAGTAATACAGTGCAGGATGTCAGCAGTCTGAATGCTGGTATTTTATGCAAACCTGAAATTTATTATAAGCTAGCCTGTAGCTAAAATATTGCCTAAATATTTAAAAAACATAATTTAATTTATATATCTTAGTTCACAGCCAGACAAACTAGCAGATTTATTATTAAATAAATATGCTTTAAGTTAATCATTTATACATTTCTTTTAAGGTAAAAATGATGAAATAAATTACTGCCTGGGGGGAGCTGCTGCTGGTGCTGTATTTGCTACTTTGCGTAAACAGCCCATAATCGCTGTACCGGCAGCCATATTTCTTGCTGTTGCTGGGCTAGTGAAAAAAACCAGTGTGGATAGTGGTGTACCCATATTCCCTTACATACAGATGGGAAAAGAATCCATTAACTCAGTTAGGCGAGATTTTACAATTAGTAAGGATGTTGAAGAATTAAAGACTTGGACTAAAGGTATGAAATTCTAATCTGCATTTTTGCTCTAGTAAAGTTTTTATAAAATTTTTGCATATACACATCGGCATCATTAGAAATAATAAATTTCTTATGGCACCTATGACAGTAAGAATATTATTATACCTAAAATATACTTTCTTTCTCACTTCGTAAAGAACAATCGCCAAAACTGTTACTGGACCTAATTAAAAATGTTTGGGACCAGTCATAAAGCGTTGCACATTTCTTTTAAAGTCAACCAAATATAGTAAAAATAGTCTTCATATTTGGCCATTTTTGTATAATCTATTATCTAGGTAAATAAACAGGCTGGCAACATTTGGTGTTTTTTTTTAATTAAATGTGTTTAGTTTTATTAAATTATTTAGGTAGTTAAATTTTATGTTAAAATGCAATTTTTTAGATCTTATCATTTAATTAGGATCTTTTGTGATTGTGTTTGTTTGCTTTCAGGTCAGTAATTTATGTATCAGGAGCCAAGAGTAGTGTAATTAAGCTAAATGTTTAATAAATTGTAATTGTTATGCTCTTGACTTTTTATTATAAATGTTACTAGCTGATCTGGAAAATGTTCTTTTGTTGTTTGCTAAATTCATATTATATATAAATACAATTCTTACAAATAACTGGTAATATTCGATTAATTTCCCCCCAAATTTGTTGCCATAAATTGGTTCTTCTTGCAAATTAATTTTAAAAGATGGACATCTACTAGTGCCGAATTTTGGATTTAGATTACATTCTCTATACTGTACTCAACGCCCCTTAGTACTGACATGAAATTATATCCAGTTACTGTGCAGTTACTGTGGGGCATGAGGAGCAATGCATATCTATGTGAGTTTATCTGATAGATTGTATTTACAGCCAAGTTGTTGATTGTCTATGTCCCCTGCTCGACTGAAACAATTAAAATTCTCCAAAATTCACTTTCAATACTTATTGTGCTTAATGCAAAGCTAGACTAAATTTAACCATTAAAAGTTGATAAAAATAATGAAAGACAGTTCGTTTATATTTATTTTATTTAACAGCTATTAAAACGAAAATCACAAGCAAACTACAATTAAAAATGCTAACTTCAATGATAATAAATTAGTAAGTGCTAGTAAAATTTTTAAGATTTCTGAAAAAGGAATGTTAGAGTTTAAATATCCTCCCTTTTCAAAACAAAGATGGAATCAATTCGTAACTAGAGCGATATATATTTATAAATACATAATAGAATCAAGAATAAGCGAACAGCATAGATAAGGAAACAGCTTAAATGCAATTAAACACGCCGGTGCAAAGATAACATTTTGGGACTGAATGCCTACATTTGAAGCCTTATAGAATCGATAAAGATATATCTAGAGATAAGTTTTGACAATCACCAGCGTTCAACACAAACGCAAAATAAGGAGTAGCGAGGTAAGGGCAGGGGGGGTTACCGCCCCCTTCCACCCTAGAAAGATGTTATTAATGTATTCCGGTTAAAGACGATTTTCTTTAAGAAGTAATTAATGTGAGTTCCTCATTAAAACCATTTACCTATAAACCTGGCTACCTCCTCGACCGTAAAACTTAGTTACAAACTTTGGCAAATTTCAGACTTAAAAAATTGTTACATCTACTAGCTAAGAAGTTGGAAGATACTTGTGTCTAATAAAACTATGTAGAAATGTAAAAAGCTAGAAGACAATTTTGGCACGTAATTTCCAGTTGAACAACAATATTATGTACTTAATACACCAAAAAAGGGCAAACTATATAATTATTAAAGTTTTATACTAAAGGATTACTTTCACTTCCTCTGCCAAGTATACCATTGTTACATGTAATCTTTGTTCAAAATTAATAGAGATTTAAATAAAACATTTTAACGGTTTAAAACGCGAAATGTATTAAGTAACTTATCATTAATTTATTTTAACCAGGTTCCGATGTTTCGGATGCTTTAGCCGTGGTCATGGAGAGTCTAAAATAAGTTAGCTTATAACATTCGTGTTTTAAACCGTTAATGTTACTGTTACTGTAACTATTTCTCGCATAAACTACAGTACAATGCTTTGTTAATATAGTGAAATCAAAGCCACCTTACAGGATGAAAAAAGGCCAAATACTCCCGCCCATAACATCTTAACAAAATGCGTTGTCGTCCTATTTTGTTTAAGACATTCGGAAATCCTCAGACTGAAACCGCAACCGGCTTTTCTGGACTGTGTCGAGCATGTTTCAGAAAAATTAAAAATTGATTTTGAAACACGGTAGACCAGATTAAAATCAAACCGTTAGTCGGACCTACAGAGGTTGGCAATAGTAGATACTTTAAAAATCGAAAATAAATTTAAAAAAATTTTTCGACTCGGGCAGGACTTGAAACGGCATCGTTACGTTAAAAACTTCGCTTGGAATTAAACTTCGGCCCGACGTTTCAAATGCTTTGGAGCATCCGTGTTTAAAGTGTTTTATTTAAATGTGTTTCGCGTAAACTATAGACAGTATTTACCGAGAGATTTTTAAATTATAAATCCCTATGTGCAACATGCACATGTAAAAAATAATAAAGTTTTCAAACTGTTGATATTAATATGTACTAGATTTACTTTTGAACTATTCCTTCTTAATAATTAAATTTATTTCTGAACTTAATGAAAAAAAATAATGAAATTTTACAATTTTAAATTCAAAATAAATTATTTTATCCTTTCGCATCAATGAAATTGGTAAAAATACCTTTTCGTATAACTTTCATTTGCTTATTTTAGTGGCCCTGGGTCGATCCAAGAGTTTGCTACCCCTGATATATAATGTTGGACTAAGGTGGCTCGATTTAACTATACCGCGAGTGGCCTACGTTGAGATGGTTGAAAATGTTTTAAGTAACTTGTTCCCTCAGTCACCAAATCCTCAGCACACTTACTACTACACTATCACTTCCCAGTTTTATTATCTAATTCATCTTCACTCTCTAACTCTTCTTCAATCTCTTCTACTTCTATCTCCTCTTCCATTTCCTCGTCTGATAAATCATCTTTCTGAAATAATACCAAGTGTTGTTGTTGAAGTTGAACAAGGATTATAAATGGATTTTCGAAGGAACATAGGGTAAATATTGCCAAAAAGGTTTTTTACCTCTGCCTGCGGTTGTGTCATACTACTAGCAGTTGTGAACTCATCCAATGTTGATTCTGAAAAAGTTGATTCATTTTTAGTTTTTAAATAAAAATATAAAGAACTGATTGACTTGTTTGAGAACTTTAACTCTAAAATACTTAAACAATATTTTAGTATTAAAATAGGTTGATACATTTTTAAAGAGTAACGAAACCCCCCCCCCCCCCCCAAATATGGCTTAAGGACGCCGCAATATTTCTATCTCTACTCCTAAAGTTTATTGCAAATAATCCGCAGATTAAAATTTATTTATTTTTACCGGCGTCTCTTTCAGGCGTGTCCCGCGGCGCGTCTTGTATCAAAGACAGTGTCATCTTGCCGCTTACCACCAACTGAAAATTTACGGACGGGAATAACAAAAACTAACCTCCTAAAAAAGGCAGACACTTTATTGTGTCCGTTAAAGAAATAGGTACCCGTGTTCAATCCCTTTTTTTATAAAACACTTTTAACAGTTCATTTCTAATTTAACCACGGCTGGTGTTACGGCTGATTTGCAGCAGCCGTGGCTCGTCCGCCGTGACTAATACATGCATTTGATATTGTTTTATTTGCGTTTTTAATCGATAAATGTGGACTACGAAGGAAGGCTTTAGGCTAGAAAACAGAGGAAACCAATAGGAGCGAAAAACAGCGCGAAATGTGAAAAAAAAATATGGGAAAATTATTCATCTTTGTGGGTGTCTGCTGCGAACAGTACGAGATACCCTAAAATATATCTACCGACCTAATAAAATTATACTGACAATATATGCCTTTCTTAAAAGATTCATTAGCAAGAACTGCGGGACGCGGATGAGGTCCCAGCTTTAATTAAAAGAGATGAGTAGGAGGTTTTCAAAAACAAATTTGGATGCCCAATGTAACTATACTTCGCAAACGAAGTCGCTGACACATCAAGTAAACAATAATATCGAATTGGCATACCGGCGAATTCTTGGCGGGTTTTTGTGTTTGAGTGCGATCTTCGAAATCAGCTACGAGCACACGGGACTGTTGGGGTATCTCCGTCTCCAGAAATATCGACTTCACATCTTCAGCTTTGTGCTGTTGCTGAAAAAGTAAAGCGGCAATATAAAACGCTATACACAGTAAAATAAATATATAATTTCGTACATCGACGAAATCTACTACGCGTTGAAAGAGTTTATCAATAAAACACTGTGTTACCTTACCTTAAAAGTTTAATTATAAAAATGGTGAATAGTTACTACATAAATACACTAGATGGCGTTAAGGGAAAGTATTCTTAACATTCAGCTAGTGTTAAGTCTATGTGTGCTTGCGCATTCAAAAACAATTATTGATTTTATAATCACAAGATACTGAGATGTTAGTGAAGACGACATGTTAATTCTAAATAATACTACGCCATTAACGAAAAACATTTAATGAAAATTATAGTTCTAAAGCATAAAATGGAGAAATTAAGACAAAGTAAGGAAGAAATGTATTTCAGTTTGAAGTAAAGATAAAAGAATTTCATGAAAGTTTAAATTTTTTATCAGGTCAGGGTGTCACTTTATGGAAGGTGAAAGTGAATAAGTTGCGCTGTCGACCTATTTCGGTTTTGGAATTAGCGTAAAACATAGTTGTAAAGTATTATTTACAAGTATGTATGAAATAAGATTTTAAAAAGAATATTAATCTATCTAATAGAATAGAAAGGATAGTATCTTAATAGAATGTAAGCATAGTAACATAGTATCAATCGTACAGTGTTTGAACTATATGGACAGTGTAGTTGGGTCTCACCGGGGCGATTGGTTTAGGTGTAAGAGTCGGCCGAGCATCCGACCACGTACTACCGTCCACCGGATGTGCGGTCGTCTCCATGCCTAGCACCTAGGGGATGCCAATTATCATCAAATTAGGTAACCGTGAGGAAAGAAGAATAGATATCGAACTAAAACAGTTTTAACGGTTAAAAACGCGAAATATTTAAGTCGACTTATTTTTGATTTGTAAGAACTACGATCACTTGTTTCAGATACTTTACAGCAACTATGGTAACGATGGAGTACGTTCTTAATTTCAAAGTAAAATTTGCTACTGTAGCGCCATCTGTTTCCTAAGGAAGGTATTCGTACTTGGTAATTTTTCCACACCATACAATATTATTGACTTCAACAAAGGACAAGTATCTTATAAGTTCAATTTCATAATTAGTGGAAAAGTAAAAAAAGAAATTTTAAATAAAACAGTTCAAACGAGAATTATACGACGTTGAGAATGCTTTTAACAGCTGTATTCAACGGTAAATCTCAAAAATATGTTACAAATATATGTTTTAATCGGTTAAAAGTGTTGTATTTACGGTCGTTCAATCTATTCGACTTATATATTGTTATTTGCGATATTAAAATTATTAAGTTAGATAGGTATTAAAAACTTTATAAGTAAAGCTGTGGATTAAATCAATATATATCTTACTTTTACAACCGAGTTTTCGTTAACTTCATCCATATCTTTTGGTGAATCTTCTTTCAAAGCTTCAGCCAAAAGCTCCGGCGTAGTGGGACCATCCTTAGTAGCAATCTCCCTTTCTTCCTTCAAAAATTCTTCTGTTGAATTTGATAATTTGTCTTCCTTATCTGTGTCGGGCACTTTAATTAAATTTTCTAGGACTAAGGCTTCTTTATCTACAGATGTGTTTTCTATTGGTTCAGTATTATCCTTGTGCATGCTTTCATTTTCTGCTTGTTGCACAGCAAAATCTGAAATAGATTTGTTTAAATCTGGAAGAATTTCTTTTGAATCTAATATGATCAGCTCGTCATCGGTCGATGATTCTTTGGATGGGATCACTGGTTTTTCAGGATTATGAACTGTAATGGTGACGTCACGATCGGGTGTAATACATGCTTCAGGTTCAGGGGATAATGAAACTTCCCTATGCTCTTTATCGTCGAGTTGTTCAGGGATTAATTCTTCCTCAGAAGAAGACTCATAGAGCTCCTTTAATTCTTTTTCTACAGAACAGTCTTTCGGGAACATAATAGTATCATCTTCTGAATGAGGTTTTTCATCTACCAATTCATTAAAATCTCTTACTTCATCTTCTTGTTTGTCATTCAGATCGGGTTCCTTTAATAAAACAGGTGATTCCCGCTCTGTAGAAACCTGTTCGTCAATGACTGGATTTGATGTCTGTGTCCGAATGTCATTCGGGTCTAGGGGTGATTCATTCAATGATATTAATAAGTTTATATCAGAAGATGAATCGTTATGGATTTGAACGGTATTTTCAGGGTCTTGGGGTACTTTGTGATCTGAGGAAGGCGCTTTTAAATCTACAAGATGCTCTTCTGGTTCTTCGGAAGAGTCTTTCGTGTCTATGGAAGGTTCTGTCTCTTTGGAAAGTTCATTTGTTTCCTTATGAAATTCAAGAGGTTCATTTTGTTCTGTTGAATTTTGTGTTTCTTCTATAGCAGAAGATGTATTTTGCGTTGAGTTTACATCGGACAAACATGCCTGTTCTTCTGGTATGGGCGTTAGATCTTTGTTACTTGATGTGTGTACTTGTGTATCATGAGGTGGTTGTGTCGTTTCTGAAACCTCGTCCTTACTGTCCGATAACGTTTGTTTGGATTCCGCCGAATCCTGAGCTTTTTCCTTCGGCTCCTGGTATTCACTAGTCACAATATGAACTGGACCCGTGTTTAATAAAACTGTACCATTTGTGTGGGGGCGGGTTTGACTATCCTGGGATTCCTGAAAACCAAATATTTCTGTTTTAATATTATGTTTTTCCTACACAATATACAAACAAATCAATAAATGTTAAATGTCTATTACAAATTTGCAAATGTATCTATATCACATAAGCGCATACACAAAAATTTGTTTTTATTTAGGACCTACTTAATACTACAAACTAATCAAAAGTATTACAGGATCAAACCAGACAAAAAAAGCCAAGAAAATTTACAAAAAGACCTGAACTACGAACAACTTAAAACAGTACTTTCAGTTCTACAATCTCTACAAGAACAGGCAAGCAAATATTACGGGAAGCAAAGTAAAGGCGTAATTTTGGACAGTCCTACATTCTTGTTATTACATAACTCTCAAAGTTTTGGGTTAACTTAGACGAGGTAGCTTGGTAAACAGACAGATGGTAGACGATTGAATGAAGACATTAGGAAAAATATAACTTATTGTAGAAGTGGTTTGATGAGAAAAAAGATGAACTTTAAATATGCCGGGAGAAGTTTATTCAGCACTTATTCTTGGAGCACACCAGCGATCGCCACAAAACGCCACCAAAGTTCTGTGGATTGCATACATTCTGTAGCGGCCACCAGCTTTAACCATATAAATGTGTGAAAGCTACAAAAAAGGCGGTATTGTGGATATGACCAGTTAAGATTTAATTAAAACACTTTAACGGTTTAGAACGCGGAATATAATATTAGTTAAACTTATTTAAAAAATTTTTTTAACTACGGCCCGATGTTTCGGATGCCATGCAGCAGCCGTGGCCACGGGGAGACTGAAACATCAGGCCGTAGTTAAAATAATTTTGTAAATAAGTTTTACTAATATATTTCGCGTTTATACACCGTTAGTGTTTTATTGAAATGTGTACTACTTTTACGGCAGTATTTAAGTCTGGTTAATATGTAATTGTTGTATATTTATGAAAGCGCGAATAAGGAACGCAAAAATGGGTGTCGATAAACATAAAACAAGTCCAAAATTAATGAACAACACATATCCATTTCATGCAAGACCTGTCGTTGCTGGCTCGACTCCATCTGCTGTTCCACCTCCGCTACCAGGCCAGATATGGCCGAGACAACTGTGACCAACAATTTGTAAATAAGAAGGGGTAAATTATGATCTTACTAATTGTCTGTATTATTTGATGAGGAAAGACAAGCACGGTGGAAGGAAATGCCACAGCGCTTACAACATCAAATTTAAATGCACTGTTTATCTATCTTTTGACATAGTTGTGTTTGAAGTACGAACTACGAACGATATTAGCTTCAAAATTATTTTTGTGAAATTGGGTATACGTAAATTATTTTACTATGTGTAGTGTTTGAGTAGAACCTATAGTCCTTAGTACGTATGACACTGTCTCGTGCCTACTGTGTGGCGGGGTGCGCGGTCATTGCAGCGAGAGCGGACGTGTCGCCTGCGCACACAGTGAGTTGCCGAGCCAGTGAGATTGCATTATAGGGGCACTACACTATGATTAGAGAAGGACATGAGCACGGGGTGCACTTGATAGTAGATGATATACCCCAGTCTATATGAGATGGGTTGTCGACTTATTTTGGATTTGAATATTCCGAAATTCACAGACTGAAAAACGAAACGCAATTAAGGTGTTCATATGTGGACGGTGGTTCGTGACCGCGACGGAATTTCGATATTCCTACCCCCCCATTTAATATCCAGATTTCCAGACGAAGTCCAACATGTTTCAGAAAAATTTGAAACTGAAAAATTTGGAACATGTTGGGGGTTGGGGGATTAAACCTGAAATTGGGGGATTTTTTGACTAAGAGCCTAGTAAGTTAGGTTAATTCAATTAGTTAAATATTAAACTGTCAATTTACCTAAAACAATCTACGTATAAATCTGTGTGTGTGTATAGTATAGGTACCTCAATCTAAGAGGAATAATCTAATGAACCTAAAAGGCTTGCGGTTGCGCCGAAATTCTTAAATCCGTAATAGGACGTTTACTATATGTAAAATAATGAATGAATCGTTCCACAAATAAGCTTGTCTATATTTTAAATCAACTACGAAGGACGCGTCTGAAATAGATTGGCCATCATGGAATGCGGCCAAAAGCCCAGTTTACGAATTATTACGCGAATTATCTCGTTATATGCCGGTATACATTAACAATTGAATTTCATGCTTGTCTTCTACAGCTGATAATTTGCATGCTTTTTTTTCATTCATTTCATTTTTTTTTAATTCAATACAAATAATTTTGTCCTAAGTACAAACGATGAAGACAAATAATTCACAATAGAGATAAAATTAATCAACTAATTAAATTAAAACATTTAACGTATAAAACGCGAAATGTATTAGTTAATCTTACAAAATTTTATTACAAACTTATCAGCCTATATGAGACGTGGTATAGTTATTTTAATAACTCGAATTTGTAAATGAAAAAGAATGTAATTCTTTTGTTATTTACTGTATAATGTCTTGTAGTATATAATTTTGGTTCATGTATGTGCTTTATAAGATACGCAAGAAAGTTATAATAGTTATGAGTTTGAATTATCTCTTGGACAATATTTTTTTGTAACGAAACAGAAAACTAAACGTGTAATAAATAAAAAGTTACATTTTTCTCAAACACGGATCGTACGGTTAGTTAAAATCGTGTTTATTTGGAACAAGGAAAACATACCATTCGTTACAAAAATTGATTTCTGTAGTATAATCATATATATATAACACACTGTTAAACAACGTGAAGGAAGGGAATTAATGAGATCGCAATTCTTATTTCATTGAAATATATTTCCTATCCATACAAAAATATTTTGAGGCGTTGATGGAAGACAGAAGTAAATTTTGATCAAAGATTTTGGAACAGTACATGATAGAAAATGTTTTTTTTTTTATAAAAACGCGATATATATTAGTTAACCCTATTTGAAAATTATTTTAACTACGGCACGACCTTTCGGATGCTTTGCAGCCGTGATCACGGGGAGACGTGGTAATTAAAATTCATTCATTCAAAACACTTTTAAATAGTTGAACATTAATTTTGATTTTACGATTTATTATATCTATTATTTGCAAAAAAGTAGTTATAGAGAAAGGATAATATAATATTGTCCTCATTTTTTTAATACAGAGGACAGACAAGCATGAGGTCCACTTGATGGGAGGTGAAACACACCAACCATGTAACATCTAAACAAGATGCGCAGTCGTCCTATTTTGGCTTTGGATATTTCGTTCGATATTCGTTGCTACATGAACTACATTACTTCCCTTCCCACTCAACTATCCGTCAAGCACTATGTACCTTCACCATGCCGCAAGCATCTATATCAAACGCCTAAACCAACGAAAAGTCACGCAAATAATGTCTAACAATAACTCGCATCGACTCTTCATTTTGTCTATATCTAGATTTAGATTATTGCCGTCAACGACAGAGGTGTATTCAGCGTGTTGTAATTTTAAACACATTTTGTGTACGATTCGAAAATAAACAGTCGATACAAGCCTACCCTGTAAAGCAAATTTTCGAGTCGATGACATGTACGACAATATTATGTAGAACGATATTTTTTAGTTTTAATTAATTAGTAATGTATATGAATTAGAACGTTCAAGATTTCCGACAAATTTAAATATAACGTCGGCCAATAAACAAACATTTTTTTTCACGTGACATTGAACATAATAAGAAATCTCTAGATAAAAAAAAAACGACACAGGCGGAACGTGAACCGGCATCAACTGCGTTCCGTGCTGCTTCTTTAACCAATTGAGCAACCGTGCTAGAGACACGGTTTCTAATAATCTAGTCTTAGTGTTAAAGCCACTGAAATCAATGCAACATCTGTTCATAGCTTAATTAAGAAGAAAAAATGAACTTCTATTTCTTTTAATTTAACGGATTCAAAGTGTTCACTTTAGAGATTTTATTTGAAATTCGCGTAAACTACAGACACTAAGAACAATTGTTTGTAGCACATCATCGACTCGAATATTTGCTCCACCGGGGCATACAACCACACGTGGGGTAATCGAGTCACTAATTTGATTAATTCCTTCGACATAGGTTCAAAGCGCAAAGTACCGCATCGCGCTGCGCAAGTTGCCCGACGATGCGTTGCATCGCGCGTTCTGTTTCCTCTAAGCGCGCGCGAAGGGCCGCTATCTCGACATCCCCTAAAGATTGCCAGATTCCATTCAGTGCTTGTTATGATAGAGGGGGACAGATAAGCTTAAGTTTCACTTGAACCCCCCCCCCCCATATAACGACTAAACAAGATGCACTATCGACCTATTTTAAGCTTTGAATTTGGAATTTCTACATTCCAACCACCTATTTAATATCCAGATTTCCAAAGTCCAACATATTTGATAAAAATTATACGATGTTTAGAAACATTTTGGACCTCATAGGGATCGAACCCACGACCCGATATCAGCCATACATTGCTACCATTATCACAATCAGCCCGTTAAACTTAATAGCGTATATAAGGATAGTGGTACAAAACTCCCTCGATAAGACGAATGTAATTTTGAGAAAACTATCATGAAACTAGGAGAAATAGCTTCGTTAGCCCCACGAAAATTTTATATATATTTAAGACTGATTTCATATAGATATATACTGACGAATATCTTATATAAGTATATAAAGATTCCGTCTTCACCATCTGTGGACGGTGATTTTCTACGATCCATTCTAGGTTTTCCAGATGAAGTCAAACGTCCAAACTCAAAGTCTTTGGCTTAGGACATTTGATGTTGACCCTTAGTTAAACATACATTCACACTTCAACTCGTCTCAAGTAGGTTTTTTTAATGTTTACTACTCGCGTAAACTGCGGATACAAAATACTTATATACACCCTTTGCTAATACCGATCAGAAATCAGGCCGCAAGAGCCAGAGTAGCCTAACCGCAATTTTATGACTCGACTTATATTTTCACAGTCTAAATATATTAATCTACAAGAGCACAGTGACCGAGAATCGTAACATAATTATTACACAAATAATAGTACAAATCAATGTTCGCCTAAGTTTTAATCCTTATCGAGAATTATGTTTTATGTTATTAGGCCACTCTGCCTCTAGCGTCAAATGAGTGTAGGCGAGACCTAAATCCCTTTAGTACACATTCCTGTGCTTAATCATTAAATATTTAACATCAAAATTGTTAATTAACTCGCTTCCTTATCAGAGCCGTCCTTTTGTCGCAGCGCTAACTAACACAGCGTAAATAATGACTATTATTATGAGTATACTCACTCGTATCAGTTTCCTTGTGTCCTGCTTGTTAATGATTAAAATATGTATAAGTAATAACGATTATATACAAATATTAGAAGCGGCAATGGTTCATGAGGTCGGGAGATCGATTCTTGGTCATGCACCGAATTATTTTTATTCGTATTCATTCCGATAGTCAAGGTGAGCAACATTTTTTGAGAGAGCGAAGTTTCACAATCATTATATTGTTTTCATTTAAATCACTTTTTTACATGTTTTAATTCGGTATTAATCGTTATTTTATAATAGGTATGATTTTAAACTTTTCTGCAAAAACGTCTTGGACATCAAACAATCATCACTGCTTGCTCTGAATTGCTCATCTGGTAACTCGAAATGTCCAATCTACTAACGCATCCACCGTGGTGGATACTCGAGACCCAGCAGTGGGAATACTTTAACACCGATAGCGATAATTATAGAGAGAATCCTAGATCTATTAATTTCCTATCTACAATTTAGAAAATTTTACGTATGTTACATTTTAATCCATTTTTATCATTTCTATTAGATTATAAATTCAAATTTGAAAATCTTACCCAGCTTATCAGGCGTAGTCCTCGAGTCATCTCGGAACACTCGTCTCCTAAACTGAGGGTCCGGAGAAACAGATTCGTACGGATGCCCAGAGCGTTTAAACAGGATCTGCGTAAAAACCGAAATTGCGCTTTGTATAAAATTTACATGAGCAGGATTACTTTGTCTGTATGTTCAATAAAAAAATGTGTGATGTATATACAATTCATCGTATATGTATAGAGTGATAAATTAGGAGCATCATTCCTTCCTGTCAAAGTGACTGATCCAATATTTTAACTTAACGATAATTTTTTACAACTGATGTGTTTATTTGAAAAAACTTCTCGCAACACTAAACCAGACACTGGCCAAGGATGTGTTTAAACACTTTGTAAAAACTCTTAGTTCACGTATTTAAATAAAACACTTTAACGGTTTAAAACGATGCTTTTCAGGTTAAAAATCTATATCTAAATATATTTTAAATAAAAAAAGAAGTTAAAAATCATTTTCAAATGAGTTTAACTAATATATCGCGTTTTAAACAGTTAAAGTGTTTTATTTAAACTTAAGTACTCTAACATATATATTTTTTCATAATGTAGATGTCACCTTACCTTACTAAGCGTATAAACGAAGAACACTATGATGCAAATTGTATAAATCGGCATGACGAAGCCCATGGAAGACTTTGGGGCAGCCACCGGACCCCCAGGTGAACCCAGTGGGGGCCGCATGCCCGGGATTGGAGGGGGCTGGAAACCAAACACGACATGTTTAAAAAAACATCATTTATTAAATACTAAACCTAAACGATTAAGTAATTAATCTAAAAGCCAAGTAATTTGACACTGTTGGAGTATTGAATTAAAACGCCTTTTCAACGGTTTAAAATGCGAAGTATATAAAATATAGATTTACATACTTAACATACTTAATACAGTAAGTTCCTTGTAAAGCATTTAAAACCGAAGAGCGTAAGTTATATGAAAAATAAACAATACAGTTCGTGTTTTAAACCGTTGAAAAGTGTTTTATTTAACGTGAACCTTTCCAGTTAACAATAGTTCCAACTTATCGTAGTTTTAACTTACCTTACTAGCTGTAGGTTTATTCATATTTTTTTTATAGATGATTTATTAAAGATTTTCGGAACCGAAGCGATAAATAAATATTAACGCGCGCCGGTCGATATGACGAAGATCGCACTGAATTGATCTTATAAACACCGGTAGCTTTTACGACGTCGCGGTTTGATGCTTTCCGGTATTCTTGAAAACTGTGCAGACTTGCGATTAGTCGCAGGACTTTGCGACTTTTCCTTTATTATCTAGATGTTGGTTTTAGACCTCATTCTTATTACAAACAGTCACTACATTGTAAAAATATAAAACGTTATATTCTCACATAATCTGTTAATAATTTTTATACAAATTAATTAAGTCTTGTTATTACCAAGAAAGAGCATACTATGTTCAACCGTTAAATTCCTTTATTTATATGTTAAATTGTAATGTAATAATGTTATACTTATACATCTTCTATTTTAAGTAGCGTGACCTCGTTTTTAATAGATATTAAATATATTCGAATTTCTTTTTAGTAGTTATTGTAAGTAACAAATACAAGTAATGTTAGGGATCATTTCTTATTAATAAAAATGTGAAAATAACTTATTTATAAATACTATACATAATCCATTTTTGTGTCACGATAACCTCAATTTTTAATAGTATTGTTTTATATCACACATTATGATTCAAAGCCTCATGGAACTTTGCGGGTACTTACATACCAAGTCTATTTACACTAATAATAAATGATTAATTTGATAAAGTATGTCATAATTAGCTTACTAATATTTTAAGTTTCTTTTTTCTTCACTAGAAACGTTTATTTCCATTACTCGATGCATTTCATTTAAAGTATTTTAACTTTTATATTCTAATTAAATGAAAAAATACTTATTACGAGTCGCGAAATAATCGCAAGTTTGTACACCCACGCGTCTATCTGTATCTGTTTATGAACGCCTCAGCGAAAACATGTAATACTGAAACATGGGCGAATCAATGACACGCCATTCCAGATTCTAGTCTAACCAAAGACGTTTGAAGTGGCTATGAATAGATAGAGGTAAATAAAACTTATCCGAAGCCGAAGTAAAATAAACTATTAGACAACATTTGACCGAAGCCGAAAATTACTTTCAGATCGCAACTTCACAGATTGGTGTAATGGTAGGAATGTACCGCTAATAATAAACGGGTCCAACAATTTATAATGTTTCTGAAACATGTTCGACTTCAATAAATTGTGTAAGGCTTTCACGGCCATCGTTCAGCATATCATTGTCTTTCGGGCTGTTCGGCCGATGTGAGCGAGAAGAGGTTCACGACGTTTCGCCATCACGTGTTAATTCTTCGAGCAATCGAGGAGTCAACATCTGATGATGCCGTCCACACGTGACAGCCCGAAAGACAATGATATGATATTCGACTTCGTCTGGAAATCTTGATATGATAAATGGCCCTACCGATATTCCGTCCGGGACACGAACAACCGTCTACAAATGTAACAGCCGTGAAGTTTAATCACGTTTCGGTTCAATCTGTGGATTTCTAAATATCTTAAGCCGAAATAGGCCGACAGCGCATCTTGTTTAGATGATATAGGTATTTCACCTACCAACAAGTGAGCTTTAACCTTTTAAAAACAAAAGGTAAAAATTTTTTATGCTATGTGAGTTGCTTATCATTGTATAGACTAAAAAATAATAATTAATTTAATTTAGATTAAAAAAACTGCTATATGAATTAAACACTTGATAATGATATTAAAAAAAAGATTTCGTTATCCTTGATCCCAGTTAGGATAATTACGATGTTTTTTTTTTGACAGATGTCTTCAAAGGAATTTAAATCAATTATTGGTTTCGTATCAAGTTTAGTAACAACACGACCAGGATAATACCCACGACCACAGCTGTTGTTAACAACATAGCTATGTAGTTCAAAATAGATTTTTAGTTTTGTCTTGTAATGTATTACACATTTTTACGCGATACTGTGCAAATGTGTGTGTGTGTGTTAAATAATGAAAAAGGTTTTAAGCACAACCTACTGTCGTTTAAAATCATGAGTTATTAACCAGCAATAAAACATGATCTCACATTAGTTTTTATACTAGAATATATTAGAATACGTTTAAAATTTGTCTGTAGTTTATGCGACTGTTTCAAATATAGACTTACCGTCTATATAACTTAGACGGTTTAAAACGTGAAATATACCACTAATGGTTACATGCTCACAGCTGCTGGAAAGCATCCATAACTTCGGGTACGGGTATATTTCGGGTAAAAAAATATTTCAATTAACTATATGTTTGTTTAAAATTTAAAAAAAAAAACAGTTACAGAAATACACGCTTCGTTATGTAACGCTTGTGCATGCGCGGGAGAGCGTTCTGCATCTATTTATATTGTCATCTGTGTCTAGGCCGACGATGTGGGGCGTCATCAATGTCAACGAACACACCCAAGAACACTAGTTTCCATAATGGTTCGGCTCATAGGATGATGGTAACACCATCTGGCATTTAATTTGTCATAGTCCCGTCAAATTAGATTTTTAAGCTTATATAAATTCCCATAGAGCTAAAAATTCGTATGAATGTTCATAGTCATCTATATAATATAAAAGCGTCAGTCTTTCCATCTATTAGAAATCGCAATACTAAAAAAAAGTGCAAACATTTTTTGTAGAGAATCGGATGGACTACAATTTTAGTCTTCACTATTTTCACCTATAAAACCACTGTTTAACTGAAAAACGCGAAAAACGTATTTTTGCAAAAACAGTTTACGCGAGTAGTACACATTTAAATAAAACAATTTAACGGTTTAAAACACGATGTATATTAGTTTAACAAATTCCAAACAATTTTAACTAATACACATCGCGTTTTTAACCCTTAAAGTGTTTTATTTGAATAATATTTGACACTCGTCCGTTCTTGAAAGTACCTGTTGTTTCTTAAGGCCTAAACAAATGTCCAGATGACTCAATCAAGTGTAACAAGCAGTTGGCAGGTATTCAAAGGGCGATAGTAAATCGATTAGCTGACCCATGACGCAAGCGGAGCCGCACTGCATTGTTAAGTTGATACTGAGTGACAGGGACGTTGAGTTTTAGGCCAACTAACCAACGTGTTCCTATCATATAACTTAGGAAATTTAACTATTAATTTTTTTTTTATGATAAAGGAGGACAGACATGGCATGGCGTTCGCTTGATGATCGGTGATATACCACTGTCTGTAGCATCTAAACAAAATGCGCTGTATTTTGGCTTTGGATATTCGGAAATCCACAGACTGTAACCGAAACGCGATCTGTGGACTGTGGTTCGTGATCCGGATGTAATTTCTACATTCCTACCACCAGCATGTTTCAGAAAAATTATAAATTGAAAAATTATAAATTGAAAAACTATAAATTGAAAAATTAAAAATTGAAAAATTAGAAACATGTTGTATCCAGTGTGGTTTGAACTCACGACCCGTTGATCGTTAGCCATGACTAGCAAACCCGTCAACGGCTAACGGTTATCACCAGCACACTCTAGATAAAAGGTAAAATGCTCCACCTCTATCACCTAAGTAAGATGCGCACCTAAATAAGACTTATTTTTATTTGCAACAATTGCGATATTCTTCTTAATGTCTACATTTTTGGGTGTTTCATTGTTTGTCCTGAAAAATCTATTAATAAAGGCATTAAACACTGTCTGTAGTTTACACGAGTAGTACACATTTAAATAAAACACTATAACGGTTTAAAACGCGATATATTAGTTAAACTTATTTGAAAATTATTATATGTCTCCTCGTGACCACGGCTGCTGCGAAGCATCCGATACGTCGGGCCGAAGTTAAAAATCATTTTCAAATAAGTTTAACTAATATATCGCGTTTTAAACCGTTATAGTGTTATCAAAAAATATAGGCTCTTATGACAGAAGATGATAGACAAGTCGGCTTCACTTGTTGGAAGGTGAAATTTTCAATTTTGTTCTCTACGTAAGATGCGCTGTCGGCCTAATTGAGAGTTGAACTAACCAGCTAACAGAAGTAGAGTTTTCACGTTCAAAATCAATGGATAAGTAAGAATTGAACCTACAACCTATTTAAATAAAACAATTGGAATGGTTTAAAAAGCGCTATATATACAACTATGGTCGGACGTTTCGGATGCCTTGCAGCAGTCGTGGTCACAGGAGGTTTTAACGAAGGGTGTCCCTAATTTAAAACTCCTAAAATTATAACTGCTACGCTAACGCCATCTGTTTCGTTGTACGTGTCGCGGTCTAAACCGTTATAAATGTGTACTACTCGCGTCAACTAGAGCTAACAACCTGCGTTTATTCTACAACCACTGTCCGACAGTAGTGTAGCCTAGCGAAGTTAATCTATAGAAGTGTCTCCAAAAGCACAGTCTTTTAACATAACAAAAGTCGTTCTGCCTCGCCATTAGACGATCATTAAGTGTAACACAATATGGTCATTTGGTCGACATGTTAAATTAGCATGTGAATTGTGTGGGAACTGTGGATAACGGTTCAAGTCATTCTTATAGCAAGTGTGTTTAAAACTCTTCACGTTTCTTTACGTCGAGTACATCCATCGATATTAGAGCTTCAAGGTTTTATCCCAACATTTTACGGAGAGGAGAGCTTCGTTGTGTAACGCGTTA